GTCTCTACCACCATTTTAGGTGGTTTTTTTTTCATTTAGGGTTTAATGGCGGCAAAGGGTTTAAGCGATTCCTCTATCTGATTGCCACTGTACGAGTCAGGGTGGAAGCTTGGTGAAGGAGACACTAGTGATCGAAGGGGATCTCATTTCAAAAGGGTATGGCTATTGATAGGTGACGATTGAAGGCTGGCTTTGTTTCAAGCGAAGGGAGAGACAGTAATATGCCCTTGATTCAAGCGATTGAATGTGATAAAGAGATATCGCGTACGATGGCAGGGATTCTTGAGCGAATGGAGAGTAGGTTAGAGTTCAGTGGTGTTGATGACACAATATTAAGGGAGCTAAGGATCTCAAGCATTCTTGTGTCATCTATGTTTGCAACTTTATTCGATTGGATGTTTGATGTGCTGCCACAAGGGGTTAAGCTAAGAAGGGGATTAGGGAACATTGTGGAAGGTCCGTCTACTTTGTTTTTTGGAAATTTTGGTGGCTGGATTGCAGCCACCCAAGCACCATGAGGACACTTCTTTGTTGCAACCGGGGTTGGGGGGTTTCCTTGTTGAACTTTTGGTTTGTTTGGTCGCCCCATTAGGTTTTAGGCTTTTGCTTTGTGTTTTAGTTTTGCCTTTTGCTTTGTTTGTGTCTTGTTGCTTCTATTCCTATTACTCCTTGCAGATTAATTTTCTCTAGGGTATTGATTGGCTTAACTTTATCATGATCATTGCCTTTTTGGAAGTTATTTTTAATTTCTAGAGTTCCTTTTTCACCCTTCTAAGGAGGATCTTGAAAGCCATATGTTGTTATGCAGCATTGACACCATAGAAATTGGGCTCGTTTGAGTATGTCCTTGGACAACCACCTTCTATTTTACCTTCTCTTTTGATCACAGTAGATAAAAAGTCTAGTCTTGCCCTTCAACTTACAAGGGATTGGCTTTAATTTTTTGGCCGATATTTGTGTCACACCATAAAAATAAATAGTGACCAGCACGGGTGCAAACCATATCACATATTCTCGTAAGCCTTAAAATAAAAATTTATTTTGTTTTTTTTAAATAATCAGATTATATGAAAACTCTAATATTTTTTATACTAATTGTCATACCAACACTTTAATGTTTTTTGTAGAAATTTGGCAAAACCTTATTCATAAATAGGATTTCTCGAAAATTTTACAACATAACAATTTTCACAAAATACAGTATCAGTTTGGAGCTTAGCTCCTTCCGGCCAGCAAACTGTATATAAATCATAATGAAATCCTAACAATAATCTATGTGGAGCAACTAATCTTTTTTCCAAATTTAAAATACATGAGTCTTAAAACTATTTACATCAAAGGTAACAATACCACTCAAGTTAGCTAATGAATCTAAGACTAAAATAAATTTTTCAATGAATAGTGTCCCCAAAAATAATTTTTTTAAAAAAATAAATAATAAATTCAGACAATTGTGTAAACTAGTTGAAAAGATGAGAATTCAATATGATGTACTTAGTAAATGTATAAATCTTGATTATAACCATAAAAATGAGAGTAACTAAACACTTTATTCCATCATGGTAGTAGAAGAGTGATTTATATATATGAATCAAAATAACACAATAATAATTGAAACCATTAAATTTCAATTATATAAATTAATCTAAATTTAGAATGATGAGGGCTTAACAGAATAGATAATAAATGTGGACACATATTCTATGGGAGTAATGCTAACCAAACGCGGCTCGAAGCCACAAAACCAAATGCAGGTACAATATCCATGAACAACAAACGTGAAAACAAGGCTCACAAAATTCAAACTAGCTAGTTATTAATCACAATGTCGAAAGCTAACAAAATTATCATTAACAATCAATGTTTGTATAAAGTTTTATTAGAAATTACGTTTCAAACATGTGAGAGAAATAATTATTTTTAAAATAAAATTTTCATTCTCAATACCAAACTCGCATGAATTGCTTATCAAAACTTGCCAAATTAATACTTAAGAGCCAATGTGTAATTTTGCATTAATTGTGTAGTCAAGAAATTCTGAAGTTCAATAAACAAAGAGACTTTCATCGATATTAGAAATATATTTTTAAAAAAAAATAAATGCACATAACATAATTTAACTATCCTTCATAATTATTTCATAATTTTCAAAACTAAAATAATTCATAAAAATAAAATAATTTAGTACAAGACTATTAATGAATAATTAAATAGATACTACTCACTTACTCATTGGAGTTCCAACTTTTTGAAAATATTCTTCATTTAATTCTTATCAGGGTCTTCTTTTTCCACACACTCTATAAGAATATAAATAAATACAATTTTAATAGTTTTTTAATTTATTACACAATCTCAACCAACCATCGTCTAAAATTTTAAAACTAACATTCATACTTTAGAAAATTGGCTCAAAGATTATTATTCATATAATTAATCTCCTCCAACTTGTTTTAGTCATACCTCTCTATTTACTTGAGGTAAAATTTCTCCTGTTATTTTCACCAAATACCTTAAGTGTATTATTTTTAATCATTCAATTTAAAATATCTAATAATTTATCATTATTCATATAAATGTAAAAAAATTTAAATAATTACCTACAATTTACAGTTACATTCCTTTAAAGTGTACAAGCTCATTTATAAGCTTCCACACTCATACCTCTCCTCCTAGACATCCAACACTTTATGGACATATTTTTTTTCAAGATAAGACTAATCTTCCTTTTAGATTTCAGCTTCGATATACCTTACAATATTAATATCCAATTATTTTCAATTAAAAACTTAAATCCACACTATCATCATCTTCCTTTTCCTGTTGTATATTTCAACTTAATTCAAGTTTTTCCCTCCACAAACAACACATACAATCTCGAACGGCAGCACAGGGGAGAACAATTTTTTTTTTTAATAACTCCAGTCACCCACTCACACTCCCACTCGCACAAGCTCATGAAGAAAGAAGGCTCAAGAATTCTCACCTCAACTTAGCAAGCCTGAACAGTGGCGGACAACAGAGAGGAGAAAGGAGGTTCTTGAACGCTGAACAGAGGAGAGGGAGAACCGAATACAGCACGCCAGAAAGGAGAAAAACTGTATCAGCAACAACAGACCAAACCGCGATAGCACTAGCAGCAGTTTCGGTGACTTGGTTTATCACTCCAGTAGCAACTCGAGCACGACAACACAGACAGAGCAGAAGACGGAGAGTAAGAACAGAGATGGGAGCTACGAAGGTGAACGTCCTGGACGTTCCAAAGCTGCGATGATCCTCCATTCTCACCGGCGACCACTGGAACGAGAAGAGAAACGAAGATACAGAAGGACGGAGAGATGACTCACTCCAGAATTCCAGATTTCTCTATTTCCCTCTCTCACTCTGTAGAACCGACTAAAATGAGAGAGAAGAAAGAAAAATAAATCTAACGAGGGAGGGGTATTTTAGTAATTTTAGAGGAGCAAAACCAAAAAAAAATCCCCTTCCTTATTATTATTGTCCCAAGAATTAATATAAACACGTTTTAAGTAAATTATAATATATATATATATATATATATTTGTTTTATTTTATCAGGATTATTATAGTTATGCCTTATGGTTGGGTGCTGTCTTGTCCTATTGGTCTTTGTGGCTTTTGTTTTGGTCAGGTTCGTTTTATTTTTGTACCGGATTTTGAATTTTGCTTTCTTTTATTGAAATCATATTTCAGGTATTGAAAAAAAAAAAGCCCGGTACTTGATTAAAAAAAATCTAAATTGTGTACTTTTAATTTATGATTGTCTATTTATGATACTTTGGATTTAAATCATTTGAAGTTGTGAATTTAGGTGAAATTTTTTTAAAATATTTTTGCTCATTTTATTATTTTTTAAACAATATAAAATATTATCTCTCTTTATTAAAAAAAAACATCTAAATTCACTAAACATAATTTCAAAGAGTCTAAATCTTAAGAAATTATATAATTTGATAAATGTGGTGTTGTGTTCACTTAAGTTATATATTTAGTTTTTTATGATTGACTTTTTGTATTAGTTTTATTACCACTTTGTGAGTTTATGTTAGTTTCAACTGAAAAAAGTGTATTTAATTATTTAGAATTTGAAAATCTAGATGCCATTGTAGATAGTAGTTATTTAATTCTTATTTTTTTCAACTCTTTCTTTTACTTTTGGTAAAAATAAAAAAAAACTCTCTTTTTTATTCGATAATTACTTGATAGTCAGTTAATTAAAATAATATTTTGATACTTCATATAAAAATAATATTTGTTTTATAGTATTTTTTATTATTTAAAGAAATTAATTGAGATTAATATTTTCATAAAATTATTTTTTACATTTTTAAGATTTTTTTCTTTGCATTTTCTAGTTAACTAGTTATAAGATGGGAAAATGATAATAAAATTCGTTTGAAATATATAAATGATAATTTAATCTCTCGAAATGTTGTAATTTTCTTAAAATTTTTAAAGGTTTTTCTGTCATTAATAAATTTATATAAATTATCAAATTATCCTTATTAAAAATAAATTATTCATAATTTTTCTTCTTATATTTACAACTTTTCTTCTTATATTCGCAACAATGCAACAATAAATAAGAAATTTAACATGCAAAGTTGTAATTTATTGTTGCATTATTGTGAATATAAAAAAGAAAGTTGTAAATATAAAAAAAATTATGAATCATTTATTTTCAATAAGAATAATTTGATAATTTATATAAATTCATTAATAATAGAAAAATCTTTAAAGAATTCAGGAGAATTATAACATTTTGAGAAGCCAAATTATTATTTATATATTTTAAAGAAATTTTATTGTCATTTTTTTTTATAAGATTTAATATTTTTTTCAAAATATTAATATTTTTTTATAGGATTGCTTTCAAAATGTTAAATGAAAAAAAAAATCATATGTTCCTAATAATAATTGTGGGCAAAATTTTGTTTTAACTCTTGTTTATTATTGTTGACAGTCAACTACTGAAACGATTAAATTGTCCTTCATCTTCCTGGTTTCCCCATCAGCTCCGATCGAGGCCTCTCTTAACCTCATCGCAAGTCCACTCCAGTGCCCTGCCGCCTATTTCACCGCCACTGCCACCACCGATCAAGACGGTGGTGCCTGATCCTCTGACCTAGATTCTCGCAGCTTTCCTCTGGTACGATCATCCCATGACTCTTCACCCTACACTCTTTTTCTTGGATAACATAAACTTGTGCAATAATTCTTCTTTTGATCTGGATATTTTTATTATCAGTCTGATATAGCATTTAGATATTCCATTATGATTCCTGTGATTATATGAAGGATTAAAATGAAAGCCTTGTCTGGAGTACTTCTGGGCTTTAATCGGTATTAGTTGATCGAGAATTTTGAGTATAAGATTTGTGGATTTTGAATGTTTTAAGAGTATGAATTGCCAAATGGCAATACGTGGCTTCCTGGAATTGTCGTATATGGTTTGTGCTAGATCTGCCCATTTCTAACACTTTGAAAATTAGAATTCTACTCTCGGTATTTCCATCTTTTTCATTGTCCTGATTGACGCCTCGCACTGGTAGAGATCTTTTGCCTCCATTCATGGGTGTCATTCTAACCCCATATTTTTCATTTTCCAAACACTGCCTGTGATTTCCTCTTTTTAAAGTTTAATTTCTTAATTTGTTATTGAATTTTATAGCTTTTAACTTTAGTCAACTCAATTAGGCACTTCCTCTTTTTCAATTTAAATGGAAACAACTGATGCTTGAAAAATATAGCAAAAAGGAAATTAAATAAGAAGTATTTCCCTGGGTCTCACTTGTGCCCAAATATGATATTACAGAAAATTGGATTGTAATGCAAAACCTTTTCCAACATCAGCATGATGACGTTGTACACTCTGATGAGCTGAAATTTACAGATTTGAACAGAATGGGGTCTTTTTTTTGCTAACAGTAAAATGGGTATCTGCAGAAAACTGAACGTTAAGGCTCAGGGTAAGTAAGAAAATTCTATTACAAAATCTTTTTCTGAAAGCTCATAATCCAATGCTTAACATGCCTAATAATTAGAAGGAAGAAAAAAGGAGAAATGAAAGAGGTTTGCAGGAAGTGAATTAGAAAGTGGAGTCACTAGTTTCAAAACTAATATCTTGTAGAGTAAAGACGAAGGAAGTGTTAGAGGGGAAGGTGGGGAATTTCAAGGGGAATAACTAACTTTGTATGTATGAGCTGAATGGGACATGAGTGAGAAGAAGTTGGTTATCAGAGGAATCTTCAAGGTTGATCTTTGGAGGGGTGATCAGTGAGGATAAAACCAGGACTCGTGGGAGTGACTTTTGCCTCTAGAAAGACAGGGAGTGTTTTGGTTCTTTATTTCTGCTGCTTTATCTGCTACTGTAGTCTTCTGTTATTTTCCTTTTCTATGTTTTTTGGCTGGTACTACTTTCTTTGTATCAGTTACCCTAAACAGCAATGCTCTTCTTATTTCTGTTGATTCAATAATGTTTTGGTGGAGGTTCTATCACAAGTTTAGTTAAATAACTTGTGTATAGAAACCAAAGATTTTTGTTCATTAGCTAATAATTGTCAATGAACATGTTTTGTCTAATGATATCACACGGGTCTATATTCTGTTTATTATCTGTATTCCGAATAGTCATTGGTCTGGATAAACACTATTAGAAATAAGTCATTGCTTCTGTTTTCAAGCTATGCTGTTTCTGCAGGTTACCTAAGTGGGCTTTCAGTTTTTGATTGTTGAGAATGGTACTGGTCTTGGCTTTGGGAGATTTGCACATACCACACAGGGCCCCTGATCTGCCAGCGAAGTTCAAATCCATGCTTGTCCCTGGCAAAATCCAGCACATCATTTGCACAGGAAATTTGTGTATCAAAGTATGCCTCTCTGTCTTTTTTCTAAAACAAAGCATGTCTATGTTATTGACCTTATCCATATTAGACTTAGCTTATGTGTGCCTGTGTGGTTTCAACTTTTTGCCCTTTTTAATGGAGGTCCTTCGTGACATCTGCTTGTGACCACAACAATGTCCTCCTCTTAATTGCCATAGACAATCTCAATCGCTAGATAAAGTATATCTTTAAAATATCTTCATGCATCCCAATTGTATATGAAGCTATAGGACTTTCTTTGACAATCTTGTAGTTCTCAATTACGTAATTGTCCCACTTGTTGATCTAATTAATCCCTTTATTGCTCCCTATTTGCTCTTAAAGTGTAAACACTTAACCTCTTCATTATTTGTACTAGGTGTTGAATAATGTTGTTTTGCTGTCATCTTAAATTGAAATGTTGACAATAACACTGCTGGTGGTCACTTAGCCCTCAATTTTGTCAGTAAATGAAAGTACATTCCATTTGGGTAAAAAAGGAAGAAAATCAATTTCAGTGAAGTGCTCCTTTTGCCCATTTTCTATTGTCTGGCATGCTGAAGTATTCGTAGATATATCAGACAATTTTTTTCTTTTTTTAAATTTTGGGCTTTCCTTTCTTCAGTTTTCACGTCTCTCTTCAAATACTTTGGTTATTCCTCACCAGTTCTTTTATTAAAGCTGCATACACAAAGTACTGGCAGTTACAAACTTACAATCATAGTTAGTAAAGACATGCCTTTTTCTTTCTGAATAAGGGTGTCTAGCACTCTAACTTTTTGATTTGATTGACTTCTCATAGGTTTTCTAAAAGCAAATGAGATAGTTGGTAATTTCGTACTAAAAACATTCAAATGTACTCTCAGATGCTTATAATTCTTAAACTCATATTAAATAAGCTGCACATTCTCAGCCTTTGTTTTTATTCATTTTAGGTCCTGAAATACTGCTGCTTCTTTAGTCCAAAATGTTCTGTGATGACTATGAAATGAGATTGTTTGACTATATATCACACAAGGGCTAGAGCCTGATTTCATTACCGTTAGTTTTTTTTTTTTTTTTTCCAAGTATAACAGTTAGAGTTCTTCTAAGAGTGAGATCTAACTTTATTTTGAGTTCAACTCTTACTGTTATACATTTTCTGTTTTGTTTTCCTGGGCTTACGTAGAAGCTTTGCAAGTGGGCTAGCTGTTTGTGTTTCGAAACATTTGGTTCAGAGGTTTCGGTCTGGATTTAGTTACCCCAACCATATGATCCTTTGACTTGTTTAAGTTCTGGTTCTGGATTTTAAATCTCCAATAGTAGTTAATATCTTTTTAAAACCCGTATAATTCTAACGTTAGGATAGGATTCCAGTTTCATCTTGTGTTGATTTATACCACTACTCACTCGTCACTCAAACTAAAAGTTTAAACTATTTGAAGGAACACAGTAGCAGCTTTTATACCTCTAGAACAACATGCTCACAAGAAATTACGTTGTCTTGAAAGTTGGGTGGAGTATAAATTCACAATTACCTTGTATGGAGGTTTCTAAACTTTATATTAATTAATTTCTACAGATACTGAGATCTTAAATAATGATTTTAATAATAAGACTATGGATGGAAAGAGGATGTAAGTCTGCTTCTCTATCAACCCAACTCTGATATCACTTCAAAGAACCAAGGAAACCATATGGTTAAACTATGGATTATTTGGCTCTTCTTTACCTGTTCTTTTCAGGTATTCTAGTTTCTCATCCAATTTGACTTTCATTTCCAGATGTGGTTTCTGTTGTAAATAGTCAGACTAAGTTATGAACAAACTTTGAGGCATTGGGAATTGGTTTCCAAAACAAAAATTATCTGATAATGCTAAGAATTGCGATTTTTAGCTAGTATGGTGTTCAATTAGATTAGCGTTGCCTTGGATTCCTGAGCTAAACATTTTTGTCCATTATGTTCAGGAAGTGCATGACTATTTGAAGACTCTTTGTCCTGATTTGCATATAGCTCGTGGAGAATATGATGAAGATACAAGATATCCAGAGACCAAAACACTAACCATTGGTCAATTTAAGCTCGGACTATGCCATGGCCATCAGGTCTTGATTTTTCTTTCAACTCTGCTGTTACTCCTGCCATTTCTTTTCTCTGCATATCGAGCTACCAGAAATTGTACAGTTTAGGATGTCTGTGGCAGTAAGAGAGCCCCACTTCTAGTTCAAAAGTTCTATACTTTGAGACAAGGGAAAATGTTTTGGTATTGAGGCATTATTTTGAAGCCCTTTCTGTACCATACCATGAAGCTGCTTCAACCTAAGCTAGGCCATTTATCCATAGTTCCACTACATTTTGCACATACGGGCAATTATTATTACATTTTGTCTCCATTTGAAGGTGTTTCACTTTGGTATTCTTTTCATACTGTTTCACATGGGCATTAAAGGTTGCAATCAATATCCATTTGTTTGATTGCGCCAGTTGCATCTGCTTCTTATTTCCCATTCAACTGTCCCCCACAGTTTATAGGATTTTTATGGAATTGTAGTTGGCCCAGTCAAGTAGAAACTAAGGTAGTATTTGGATTGATGGATTTGAATTTAAATTTTAGGTTTAAAATCTCAAATTTTATTCACATGTATTTAAAATCTTTTTGTTTGGATGGTGTGAAAAAATGTTAAAGAAAGAAGAGAGACGAGATGAGTCTGGAAGAAAAAGCAAAAGATTGAGAGTGTTGGGCTTATCTCTATTTTTCAATTAGTGAGAGACAAGAACAATAAATGAGAGAAGAAATGAGAATTACAGAGGCAACTATAGTGACAATGTCAAAAAAATAAGAGGGTTGAAGTAACTGAAATTTTAAAAAACTAGAGTGTAGAAGTAATTAAAAATTATAAAGGAGTTATTGTAAAACATGGATTTAGATTTGGATCAAATCCAAATTTATAAAACTTTTATATATCCAAATGGCAGATTTGATTCAAATGCAAATTTAAATCTAAATCCTCATTAATCCAAATGCACCCTAAAAGTTTGCCAGATGTGGTTGGGTCAAAGTTTAAAAGACTTGTAAAGTCTCAGGTTTGAGCCTAGTAGATATGGAAAACAAATATACTGGGAGAGCTTAAGCTACCCTAGTTTGGCCCAACAATACTGTTAGTATTGAATATAGATTAATTGGTACTATTACATATCAAAGGGATGTCTAAGATTAAAAAAAAAAAAATAGTGCCATCTTATGCACTGCTACATGATGATTATCTTTTGCTCTTATTGTTTATGAAGGTTATTCCATGGGGTGACCTAGACTCACTAGCAATGCTTCAGAGGCAGCTTGATGTAGACATCCTTGTCACAGGTCACACCCATCAGTTTACTGCTTACAAACATGAGGGTGGTGTCGTTATAAATCCAGGTTCTGCAACAGGTGCTTACAGCAGCATCACTTACGATGTTAACCCAAGTTTTGTCCTCATGGACATTGATGGCCTACGTGTTGTGGTTTATGTGTATGAACTCATTGATGGAGAGGTAAAGGTTGACAAGATTGATTTTAAGAAAACATCCTCAAGCCACTCTGCTCATTAAAAGACTTGTATCATGTTTTGTCTGAGTCTCTTATATTCTCTCTCTCCCCCCCCTCCCTCCCCATCATGTTTTGTCTCAGTCTCTTGTATCCTTCTCTCCCTCCCTCTCTCTTTTATTTTTCTGTTTTTAGTTTCTCTTCTGACCTTGTAATAGGTTTTTTTTTTTTTTTTTGCCCCTTGTTTTATCTTGTTTTGAGATCTGTAATTGACAATATCATATACTTCTAGCGAGGGTATTGGTAATTTGATCAAAGTCTGCATGCGAAACTTTTTTTTTTTTTTTTTGGAGGTACAAGTGCATGTAAAATGGCTGCATATATTCTGTTGATCAATGATTAATTAGCCCAGGATGATAAGAAAGAAGCTCACAATTAGTGAGATGGAGCAAAATTTCCTTTCTGAAAGGACGTCCAGACTGCAAAAACTGTATTAAAGGGTGGGAAATTTGTACGTGTGCCATGTTATTTGTAAACTAACCAATGAAAACATGCCAGAGGCATTTTGCAATGTGGTGGCTGCTAATATCGTTGCTGAAGTAATAAATTAGGTTGTCCAGACCAATTGTGGATGCTCCAAAAATTATTTATCTGTTTTATTGGTATTTAAACTTGGTGTTGACAATTTTCGAAAAACTGAGAAGAAACTTTTATTAATATTTCAGCGCTCGGACTTAAATTTTGCCAGTAATATTCAACCATTAGCAGTAACAGGGGGGAAAAAAACTCGAAAAAAAATGCGCCTCACGCAGAGTGCCTCGATACTTCTTGGAGTTCCAATTTTGATTTGTCACTTATTACTTAGAGATTTCACTAATTAAAAACTCTAACATTGTGTTATTGGATTTGGCCAAATTCTAGTCTGACTGGGTTCATCGGCCACTAAAACTAGCTAAGATCGAACCGTGGCTTGGGAAAAAAAGAATCCTTCTTTCCCCACCAAACCAAGAAACTCAATGACAAGAAAGTCCATTATGTTGGACTCTCATTGCTCCTTAAAAATACCTAATTAGCATATTCCAAATATATTTCAGAAAATTTCAGTGAGGATTCTTTAACTCAACTTAATTTCAGTTAAAACTGTTGAAATTATGAAATTTCACTACTCATGTGAGAGACTAGAATGAAATTGGAAAATTGATTGAAATAACCTTATTATCCCCGATGAAGTTAAGTGTATGAACAATTCATATAGGAAAAATAAACAACTGATGTATAGAAAATGAATAATTGATATAAGTGAAATTTACAACTATCATTAATAGCATAACACTATATGAATTTGTAGCTCTCATTCTACGTGTGTCAATTGTTCATTTTCCCTACACGAGTTATCATACACTTAATTTCACTTGTTTATATTCACAGTAGTGTTATGCTATTAATTAAAGTTGCAGATTTTATCTATATCAGTTATTCATTTTCTATGTCGTTTGTTCATTTTCTGTACATCAATTGTTCATTTCATCAGGGGCAATCATGTCATCTCAATTAGCTCTTTAATTTCTTTTTAGTCCCTCACAAGTGTAGTGAAATTTTAGAATTTTATAAGTTTTAACTGAAATTAAGTTGGACTAAGGAGTGCACACTGAAATTTTCCCAATATGCTATTCCACTTCACACTGCAAAAGCAAAATTCTTATTATGAAATCCCAAAAATACATCACAGAAAATATGTGGATTCATATAGCTCTACTAATCCTTCTAGTTTGAAGCAAATCATATTTTATCATTGACTGTTGGCAGGTACTAAACAGCCATTTTGAATTTCTATTCATATTTTACTCTTTCATAAATCAAGAATGTCTCCAGAGCAAGCTCTAATTCATATAAGAAAGTAGGACTCAAGAGTCTTGAGAAAACATGAACAACTTTCTATTTAAGTAGAACGGAAAGAAAGATTTAACAAAATTTCTTGAGATAGTGAAGTGTACAAACGGAAATTTATTTTAACATTATTGAATTTCCAATTTACAAGATAATGACTATTGGAACTGTCATAATTACAAGTTCCCTGTACATTTTATATGCAATTGATGACTTTCAAGTATGAAAATCATAAGAAAATAGAAAAACTGGAAAGAAAACAAAACCGTGGAAATAATAATAATATCCCAAGGAATGAAAAACAAAATTGTGTCCCAACAAAAGAACCTTAATACTCTTATAGGTAAATTTCATTGAGTAAGATGATTCTCCAGTGACATACCAGATTGCTCTGCTTGATGTCAAGTTCTTCAAAAATTAGTGTACAATCCCACAGAATGATGCAGCTTTCATTTCATTCAACTTTACTCTTTTCCTCTTCCTACAAATGGAAGTCAAGAATTGCGTAAAGGATTCAGAAATGCCTTGGATGATAGCTTATTCTGGCAACACATTAAAAAAAAAAAAACCTAGGAACATTAAACAAATCCATATATTGTCCCAGTTTTTTATTCTTTTTTCTAATTTTGGGTGAGAAAAGGATAATATTTTGAGCAATTATACTGTTCATAATTAATTGAGAAAATTGTTCAAAAGTCCCCATTCACTAATTTAATGGTGCACAAGTACCTGATCTTGTTTCTAATAAAGGACATTAATTATAAAAGGTCCTTGTGCACTTTTACATTGGTGAATGGGGACCTTTGAGAAAATTTTCCTAATTAATTTGGGCAATATACATCTGGTAAGAACTATTTTTTATCATCAACCAAAGAAGAAATCTCCATATTGATTGAAAAGAAACATTTTCTCAAAATGAATTATTTTTCATACCTTGAATTGAAAATGATTTTGAGCCATACACAATTGTCTCATTTTGATAGGTTTATATGATAGACTAGAAACTAATCTGGAACAATGCTGCAACTCAAATGCTCTGTTATCATTATATTCTATTTTTGTTTAATTTAAGGCAGCTGAACTATGATCTCATAACAAATTTGTTACAGGTCAAAATGTCTACATATAGCGTTTGAGCCCTAGATCAAATTTTAGGATACTCATTGAAAGGACAAGAAAATATCAATAAGTTCATAATGTATGGAACATGATAATTAATGGGGTAGTCCTTGTTTATTACTTATTTTGATGCTATAATTTCCTTGGCAGCACTTATAAGGTTACAACTCTTTATAATTCATAGAGAATCATTGTATGAATGACCAAACATGACTGTAAATCCTCTTAAGACTAGACTAGACAATGCTCTCTCATAGCCCTGATTATTTAGACTTTTTGTCTCTGAAATTCAAGCAAAAAAGAATAGAAGCAACTACTGCTTCTAGTAGGCGCTCACGGTAGTAAAATGGAATAAGAGAAATAAATCTATTAGGAGGGTATAAAACAAGAATCTCGTTCTATACTTCTCTTAATAGCCACGCTTAGGAGAATCTCCAAAGAGTTTGAAAGACTGCTTTATTAATTCCTCATATGCTAGCTTCTAAGTTGCTAGTCATATTTATAAAGCTAAATACAATAAAATATTAAATAAAATTTAGATAACTGGATAACTAAATAGATTTTCCTAAAATCCAAAATACTAAAAAAATCCAAATATCTAAAATGCTGAATCAAATCTAAACAACTAAATAAAGTCTAGGAAAATCTAAATAAAAACTAAATAGAGAAAAATACCAAATAAAATACTAAATAAAAGACTGAATCAAATAATCTATCTTAATTATCTTAATTTATCCTATTTTATCTTTTGATGCTTCCTTTTTGAATAAGTCTTTATGGGCACGTTATCTGGAATCTTATCATTACCCCGCCCTTGAAAACTCAACTTGTCCTCAAGTTGAAAAGAGGGGAATTGAACACACAGGAGGTCGTAGTCCTCCCAACTTGCTTCCTCCATAGGTCGCCCATACCATTCCACCAATAGCTCCAGTAAATGATGACGTGTCCAACGATGATTTAAGACTTGATGGGGCCCTTACATGTAACTCAAAATCAGCCAATAGTGGTAAAGAAGCTAGTGTAGTTGGCACCTCCATCCCATACGCCGGGCGTGAGAGAGATACATGAAAAATAGGATGAATACAAGCATCTGTAGGAAGTTCCAACTCATAGGCCACCTTTCCAATCCTTCGAATAATCTTGTAAGGACCAAAAAAGCAAGGTGATAATTTTTCAAACTTTCTCTTGGTCAGTGATTGTTGGTGAAAGGTTTGTACTCATAGCCATACTACATCACCCATGGCATGCTCAACTTCTCTTCGACGTTTGTCAGCATAAGCCTTCATCCGGTCTTGAACCTTACATAAATTGTCCTTCAAGAGTTTGAGCATTGCATCTCTAGTTTCTAATTGATCTTCCAATTCAGCTACAGTGGTTTCACCCTTGACATAAGGACACAAGGGCGAAGGATCTCTTCCATATACTAGCTTAAAAAGAGACTGTTTGGTTGATGTATGATGACCTGCGTTATAGGAATATTCAGCCCAGCAAAGAAACTTGTGCCATAACTTAGGTTGCTCATGTACAAAACATTGGAGATAGGCTTCAAGATAGCGGTTGACCACCTCTGTCTGACTATCAGTTTGGGGATGGTAGGCAGTACTCATTTTTAATTTGGTCTAGCTTAATCTGAATAATTCTTGCCAAAAAGAGCTTATGAAGATAGGGTCCCTATCAGATACTATTGAGCAAGGCACCCCATGTAACCTGACAATTTCCTCACAAAAGATGATGGCCACTTTTTTAGCGGTATATGGATGCACAAGAGCAAGGAAATGGACATACTTACTCAAAGGATCCACTACTACCAAGATGACCTCAAAACCTCCTAACTTAGAGAGACTAGTGATAAAATCCAGTGAGATATCCTCCCAAATCTAAAAGGGTACGGGTAATTGTTGCAAAAGTCCTGCTGGTGCTAAAGTTTGATACTTATTTTGCTGACAAGTGGCACAATGCCTCACATATGTCTTTATATCGGCCTTCATGGTAAGCCAATAAAAGTTCTCTGATAGTTGCTTGAATATTTTAAGAAAACCACCGTGTCCACCAACTGCAGTCGAGTGGGCTTCTGCTAGTAACTTCAGTTGTAGTTGGGATGAGTAGGGAATGACTACTTTGTGGTCATAAAAGAGTTTTTGATCAACCAAGTGAAATCTATGTTGAGACGACGGATCTTTCTGTAAGTCCTGCATTATTTCCTTAGTGAAGGGATCTAATGCTAATTCAGAGGTGAGGTCATGAAGCTTTGTAGCGAAAGGGACTGCCAACTGAAAAAAATCTGCATGTTGAGGTCATCGTGATAATGCATTAGCTCCCTTATTTTCTGCTCCTGCCTTGTGTATAATAGTAAAATTAATTGGTAAAAGCTTGATGATTAACCTTTGTTGGGTGTTGGTGGTGACACGTTGTTGTAGAAAATATTACAGACTAGTATGATCTGTTCTGATAAAAAAATGCCTCCCGAGAAGGTAATTGCGCCATTTTTGTACTACAAGAACTAACACTAGGAGTTCACGATCATAAGTGGATTTGAAGTGATTAAAGAATGAAAATCCTTTACTAAAGTAAGCAATGGGATGGTTGTTTTATAGGAGTATAGCTCCAGTATCTTCTGTGGACGCATCGCATTCAACTACAAATTCCTCCTCAAAATTCGGTAACTGTAAGACTGGTGCCATCATTAATGCAAGTTTAAGGTGATTAAAAGCCTGCTGAGCTAGTTCAGACCATAAGAAGGCATCTTTCTTAGTCAACTCAATGAGTGGTCGTGCAATAATCCTAAAATTCTTCACAAAATGTCTGTAATATCCTACAAGGCCTAAGAATCCACGTAACTCCTTTACATTCTTAGGGACAAGCCATTCTCGTACTGCCTCTACTTTTTCAGCCTCAACTTCAACCCTTTGGGCAGAAATGTTGTGCCCTAAAAAGGGAACTCTTGGTCGACCAATGAAGCATTTTTTTAAATTTACACAGAATACATTTTCCTATAGAGTCTGGAATACGGTGTGTAGATGCTCTTGGTGTTGTTGAAGAGATGAACTATAGATCAAGATGTCATAAAAAAAACTAGTATAAATTTTCATAAATAGGGATGAAATAAATCGTTCATGATTGCTTGAAAGGTGGCTGGTGCATTAGTTAAGCCGAAAGGCATGACTATGAACTCATAGTGCCCGGAGTGAGTTCAAAATGTTGTTTTGTAAATATCATCAAGTGACATCTGAATTTGGTGGTATCCCGATCGTAAATCCAATTTGGAGAAATAAGTTGCCCCATGTAACTCATCTAATAACTCATCAATGTTGGGGATTGGGTACTTGTCTGGAATGGTGATGCTATTCAATTTTCGGTAATCTATGCAGAAACGCCATGTCTCGTCTTTCTTTGCAACCAGTAAGACTGGGCTAGCAAATGGACTGGAACTAGGTCGAATAAATCCCTTTGTAGTAATTCTTCAACTTGTTTCTCAATCTCAATTTTTTGATAATGAGGATACTGATAGGGTCATAAATTGGGCGAGTTGGCTCCTGGTTGTAAGGTAATGGTATGGGAGTGATTTCTAAATGGTGGCAAATTTATGGGTTCTTCAAAAACGGCGGGAAATGTGGCAAATAAAGGTTTTGGGTTGAAATATTGGGAAGGTTTAGAGTCAGCTAAAGCTTGCATTGAATTAAATTGAGCACCTTTAGCAGCATTAGGAACTCCTTGTAACTTATACCTCTTGCCATTCACTCAGAAAATATGAAGAGTTGATTCCAATTAGCTTACACTGTATTAAAAGATGCTAGCCACTTAATATCGAGAACTAGATCAGCACCGCCTAGAGTGAAAGGGAAAAAATCTTCTTTAATCGTTAACCCCATCAATTCTACTTTAATATTTTTACAGACTCAGTTGCACTGCACAATGCTACTATCGCCTATTTGGACCTCAAAAGTAGAAATATATTGGGTAGGTAGATGAAGCTCCTGAACTAATGCATCAGAAACAAAATTATGTGTGGATCCACTATCCATCAATAATAACACCTATCTAGAGCCTAATCTGCCACTTAATTTCATTGCCGAGCCAGAATTATTTCCCAGGATGGCATTTAGTGAAATTTCGACTCCCTCAGGTTTTGTTTCTTCAAGTGCGACGTCATCAAGAGGAGGAAAAATCTCCTCTCCTTCCTCGATGATCTCTATTAGAGAGAAGGAACCCCTACATCGATGCCTAGGCCGAAACTGCTCTCCACAGCGGAAGCACAGTCCTTTATCTCTCCTTCTTTGATGTTCAATCTCGCCTAGAGAAAGCTTAGAAGGATGCGTGTTTGCTGGAGTGAGGGAGGCCGAGGGTGACGCAGTATGCATCAGGGCCCTGTACGCATTCGGGCTCATGTTCGTAGGTGAGAATCCAGCTGACCTCCTTGGTGATTGATTCGAGTCGCATGCGGTGGTTGAGGACCCATAATAAGGTCAGGTTGGGTTTTGACCCGAATTCAGTTTGGGTCTGTTTGAAGTCATCTTCCCTTCGAATTCCAAAGCAAGGCTAAGCGCACGATATACACTCCTGGGCTTGTGAATTTGAACGTCAGATCGGAGCTCCTCCTTTAGCCCACTGAGAAACACACCAAGAAGGCAGTGTTCAAGCCAGTTTTTTACTCTAATGACGCGTCTTGCAAATTACTGTCAATATTCTTGTACAGAGCCGTCTTGCCTAATTCTGCACAAATATTCGTTCGGGTTCTGGTATTCAAATGGTCCGTAGTTCTCCTACAGCGCCTTTACTAACTCATCCCAATATAGTAAGGTACGCTCTAAATTTAACCATGAGAATAAATCCAAAGTATTTCCTTCTAATGACATAGATGCTATATCCATCTTTGATTCTTCTGGGGTATGATAATACTAAAAATAATTTTCAGCTTTAAGAATCCATCCCCGAGGATCACCCCCGCTGAATTTGGGAAAATCAATTTTGGGTTGAGGTGGACATGACCTCCTCTTGTAATAATCAAATTCTTCTTCACTTTCCTCACCCCAGTTACGGCGTCTATATCGACTTTCTGGAGTCCTTCTACTTCTTTGTGTTGCTGATGCTTCTAAGGCTTCTATCTTTTCTTGTAATATGTTGAGTTTCTCTAATTTGGAGGAGATAAGAGCCAGATCGTGTGCAAGCAAGTTAGGATTTTCTGAGGCAACGTTGGATGGGTTATCGATAGGGTTGGTCTCTTGACCAGTATGTGTAGTGACCATGGCTCTGATGCCAAATTGGTAGGTGCTCACAGTAGTAAAATGGAATAAGAGAAATAAATCTATTAGGAGGGTATAAAACAAGAATCTCATTCTATACTTCTCTTAATAGCCATGCTTAGGAGAATTTTCAAAGGGTTTGAAAGACTGTTTTATTAATTCCTCATATGCTAGCTTCTAAGTTGCTAGTCATATTTATAAAGCTAAATACAATAAAATATTAAATAAAATCTAGATAACTAGATAACTAAATAGATTCTCCTAAAATCCAAAATACTAAAAAAATCCAAATATCTAAAATGCTGAATCAAATCTAAACAACTAAATAAAATTTAGGGAAATCTAAATAAAAACTAAATAGAGGAAAATACTAAATAAAATACTAAATAAAAGACTGGATCAAATAATCTATCTTAATTATCTTAATTTATCCTATTTTATCTTTTGATGCTTCCTTCTTGAATAAGTCTTTATGGGCACGTTATCTAGAATCTTATCAGCTTCCTACTCCTTTAAGTCTATCACTCTTCTTGACTCTGTACTCTAATATCATATAACTGATTAAATATTAATTAAAGAAAACAATTGATTAATTGTAACCAGGTCAAAGTGGAAGCGTACATGTATCTCAGCTGCTGCTTCATTTATTCTCCTCTCAACACAGGCAGTAGGTCATACTTCCTCTCATTTATATAGTGATTGGGTGAGATCCTCCAAATCCATCAATGCCATCTACGGCTATACTTTATGACACTTCACTCAACTTTCTTTATGGTCAGAACTTTCCACGAGTAGCCTTTTCTAGAACTGTTGACGATAACCAGAATCTCATACCAGTTGATGGATACTCGTGTAAGGGGACACTATCTCTTAGAAGCTAACTATTGAGTCGAGAGAGCCAACTAACTTAAGTATTCCACAAAGCACTCCATACTCCTCAGTGTATAACTTAGCTTCTTATATTACAGTCTCTATCATATAGTTCTTTGATGCATCAGTAAAGTATTTGAGTTTATACTTAAAAGCATTTCAACATAGACACCCTCACCATCAAAGTAGTTGGGCCCATAGTTAAAGGCAACTCCAAATCCAGAAACAAAGTTTCTACTCCTACTCAGTCGAACTAATATTCTCATCCTTATCTGCCTCCAAGAAGCAAGCCGGATACTCCAAAACTTTTTTCATAATTTATTAAAAACAACAGTAAAAACACTCATCCATTACACAACTTTTTTCTTTCCTTTTTCCTTGATTTATAGGTGGGCATATAGATAGATGAATTTGAATTTGAATTTGAATTTTAGATTTTAAATCTCATTTTAAAATTGATATATTTAAATTATTTATTTGGATAGTTTACAAAGTTTATACCAATAATAATGAATCGTCTTACTTGTGTGACTTGTTCACATATTTGGGTAGTATTGAAAGATGATAGCTTGGGATTTGAAAGAGCTAAAGTAGATTAGGCATTTTGAAATTCTAAAGGAATTGTAATAAAAAAAATTTGCTTAGATGTTGATCAAATCCAAATTCATAAAATTTTGCGTATTTAAATAATGAATTTGGTTTAAATCTAAATTCAAAAGTAGTTCTTTGTTTTCATTACCTTTCCTTTCAAAACTAAACATCTGATAGGATGAAATAACAAACTTCCGGGATCCCCAAACACCGTTTTCCATGAAAGAGTGTCAGGTTCTCCATCATAAACAGCAATTTAGTCAAGTTCATGAGAAGCCAAATTCAGAAATTCAAGACATTTGAAGGTTCTCACCAGATTTTGTTTCACCCAAGTAGCTCTACCATCTGTTAAATGTACTTGTTTTGATGCTTGACACTTGCGACATAATGTTCGGACAAACTCCTGTATATGATGATAAATGCTGCATTCCATCATGTCATTTTAAGATTAGTGTCCATAATATTGCTCAATCGACAACCATCAAGCAGTTTAGACTATTTGAAGATATGAGAAATAATTAATTGAGTATGAAGCACACCAAGCGGCAAGAACTAGCTAGTTCAGTCTAAAAATCTAAGGATCATAGGAGTGGACTCGTATATGAGATGAATGATTTTGAAATTTATAGCCAACAACGAGAAAGCTTGAGCATTCTGTAAGTTACATGAGTCTCAAAAATGAGGATAGGCTTTGATCTCTCTTGTATATTATTATTTGGGAAAATGCAACAAGGTCCATGTACTTCAATTGTATTTTGTTCTTAGTCCTTATAATTTTATTTCATTGTTTCTAGTCCCTTTAGTTTAATTAATTTGCAACTTTATATAATTTTAAAAATTCACATAAAGATCATGAGTTGGCACTAACAAAGTTAATTTTGTTGTAATTCTGCTAACCCCTTATGGTAGGTGAAGGTAGGATTAAATACACATTAGCAAAAGAGTTAATAGAGTTAAGTACATGTCAGCAAAATTAACTCTATCTGTACTTGCTCATAGTCTTTATATGCATTTTTAAAATTATAGAGACTAACATTACAAATGAATCATACTAAAAAGACTAAGAATAATCAAATAAAATTATAGGAACTAAAAGTAAAACACAATCAAGGTAGAAGGACTTGTATTTTCCCTTATTATTTTTAATTATTGATGGAATTCCTCTAAGTGCAATGCAATCCATGTACTGGACTCACTTAGTGAGATAAGACTGCTTGTATCGAAAGAATTAATCTAAGATTGTACCTTGTGGTGCATATTATTTGAAAATAGGAACTGAGGACGAGGAGGGATCAAGGCTAGAATACTCTCTACAGTTTGCAAAGCAAAATCAAATGCTTCTCAAGAATTTTTTTTTTTTTTTTTTGGCCAGAGCTTCTCAATAAATTACTTAATGTTTACTGAAATATCTTTGAACAAGCCTATTATTCAGTACAAGCTAGTTCTTTTGAATAATATAAAATAGTGTGTTTATAATGAAACTGATATTTTTGGCCAAAAAAAAAAAACACAAGGAATTTGACAGATAGCAGACAGAAGAGAAGGAAGCTGATGCTATTCATCAATCAGAAACAATTCCACTATGTAAAACTGCACAAAATTTTATTAACTTTCTTTATTTCCTCTTATATGTAACCAAAAGCTTAAATTCTCTAATATCATGTCTCCAAGTTTCTGTTCTATAAGGAACCAACAGAGCTTTAGCTTCACAAAACACAAATTTTATTTGTAATTATATGGACAAAATAGCATTATTTCACAATGGAAACATGAAGTATCCTAAAATTATACAGCATTTAGGCTAAGTTATCGATTATAAGTGACAATCATAGATAGCTCTTTAATAGAAATTAACCAATTGGGAAATCATTTGATATGAAAGTAAAAAATCACATCAGTGACTTAGTACTACTAACTGTTACCTAAACTAATAAAAAAAGGTAGTAAAAACCAAAACGAAACTATATAAAATCAAATTGTACAGCATATTATGAAAGATTAAAATGGTAATTTCACTAGTTATATCTTCGTAAGTTTATATATTATAAGAAAAACTGACAATAACACAGCTCTTAAACCAGTATTTACTATTCTCTTCATTTAAACCACTAAACTTATTAGCAGTTGCTATTACACCACTTATAATTCACTATCAAGGCCTAATCTAAATGAAACCATCTAACCAAAATTACATAAGGACCAAATAAATTTCCGCTCAAAATCTTTATGTTCTAAAAGCCATAGTATGTAGAGTCAACTATCACAAACCACCAGATATGGTTTTGCTCTGTTCAAGTAACATTTGATATAAGTATACCTCAGTCTGTGCCTGTTACAAGCCACAAGGAATTCAGAAACTCCATGCAGTATACTCCTGAGAGCACGGAAAATCTGGAATATGTATGAATTAACACACAGTAATTAGGATAATTGTCTTCTATAAAACAACTATAACCTCAAATTGGTATAATGAAACTTTTAAGTTTAATCTTTATTAATTAAGTCCCTTGAGTTTGCTTTAGTTATTGATTTGGTTTCTTTAGTTTGCCTCAACTTCTAAGACGAAGGAACACTGAAGGAAAGGATGTGCCATATAGAAGACTTACCAGAGAAGGAGATACATGATGATGAAGAAAACTAGTAATGATTAGTGGCAATGGTGATGCCCTGGCAAAATGATTTCACCGCTTAATTCTAACAGTTTTATTTCCCCATCAAACCATGAGAACTAATTATGTATATTTATGAAACTTTAGGGACTTGATTGATAAAAAATTAAACTTTATGGATCACATCAATAATTGAGGCAAATTTGAGGGACTAAAAGTTTCATTATCCCCACCAAATTCATCAATGTGCCATCTAACAACCTGAGAAAAAAGGTCGTTCCAAAGAGCACGCCACATGGAAACTTCACAGGTGTTGACTGTTGCCTCAGAAGAAGATGCAAGCTGGAAGATGCTACTAACAAACTTCCAAGCAGCTCCAAGTACATTAAGCATGCAGCTAAATATAGAAGCCATAAAACTGGATATTGCTAGCAGTAGCCGTAGAGGAGCATATAGGACTTCACGAGAAATCCAGAATATAGGATACAAGATTGAAAAAGCTGTAGTGCATTGCAAACAACAACATACAAGCAATTAACAGTAGAACTTGTACACCAAATAACGATTTTAGAAAAACAAAGGACAAAACCAGAAGTCCAAAATATATAATGACTTACCAACTCTCCAAACAACAGTGACAATGAACCACAATGGTGTGAAGAGAAGCTCTAGTAAAAGTCCTACCATGTCGCCAAGAGTTTCTATCACATCCCAAACAACATAAACGATGCTTTCTACTACTTCAAACAATATGTTCCAGATGGGAAGAAGAAATTCAAAGAACATCACCACTGGTTTTGTAATGGGCTGAACAAGAACTGAGAAAAAGGATCGTACCACATTTGCCAAGGACAAAAACCAGCCAAAAGCCTTTCGAAAATTGTGCAGAAACAGCATTGTTCCTAAGTACCTAATCCTTGAAACCATGTCCCAAGTTTCTATCCAATCAAAAAAAGGCCCAAATAAATGAGATGCAGTGGCTTTAAGGATTGGAACATTTTTATACAAGTCATATAATCCTATGAGGACAGTGACAAGTGAGATTATCACATATAAAAACCGAGCCAGTGGACACATCCATGGGCGATATAGATTGCAGATTACTGGGTATGATTGAAGGAAGATGACCCAAGATGGGAGGCCAGCCTCTAACAAAGTAAGTAATCGAAGATCAAATATTATAACTTGTCTTAATTTAAAAGGGAGGTCATGGTCATTAAAACTAAATGATATTAGAACATCCTCATATCGAGTGGCTTCAACTGCATCCTCAGAAACATTAGTATATGTCTCAGAATTTGTCCCAGACTGCATTTCCTCGCAACAACTCTCTACCTCAGCACCATCACTGAAAGAATTAATTACTTTTCGTCTCTTACAATGTCCAAAAGAAGAAGGAGGATTTGCGAGTTCCATGCCTGTTTTCTGTTCAATGTTCTCAGAAGACCCTTCAATGTTTGTGTCCAGAATATTGTTATCATCCCTACCAAGATGTCCAGTTCCAGAAAGATCTTCACAAGCATCATAAAAATGATCCTCTGAAAGAAGATTTCAGATATCAAACAAATTTATCAGAACTTCATTTCATTCCATAAGTTAAGAAGTCTACGCAGCCTTTTTGCTGACATCATATGAGTTACTGTAAAAGAATATAGGTAAGACACAATAATTACAAATGCAAAAAGTTCCAGCAAGAAATCATATTCCCTTGTCATTGAATAGTAATAATTTACATAAAAAGGACCAGTCAAAAGGTGAAGTAAATCTTGTGAAAACACAAAGTAGCAACACTAATAAGGTCTCCTGAATTTTGGACTGTTGCACTCAGCAAGATTCTGAAACCAGATACCTTCCTCGTGAAAACCATATTTAATCATCAAGAAAAATGGGTACAAATCAAGAAAATAACAAACTTCCGATTTTCCACTTTATGTTCTGGCAGTCCAAACAAGGCCCTAAGGTATTATGTATTCTCATGGCTGTTGAACTTATGTCTAATAAGTTTACCATCACATACTCAAACCTGCGGTCTTGCATATTAATCAAACCTTTAATGATGATGATCCCTCTGTCATCATATATAAGGCACAAGTCAATTGATGCATACAGATTAATAAACACAACTAGAGGTAGTTGGTGTCTGAAAAATACTTCTTCTTTCTTATTTTTCCCACAGTTAAAGTACATTAGGAGTATTACTCCATATGAATAGGAAAATGGAGATTCATGATTGGTTCAGTAGTTTTGAGTATTTCTAGGGGGTATTTTTAGAAAGATATTATCAAATATTCATAGAACTCTGCATTGTGCCTTATATAATGGAGGGAGGAGGAGGAGGAGTAATTAGACATTTGTTATTAAAACTATGTGAAGTTCAAAGTTCAAACGCATGAGATGCACAATCAAAAACATCAAGGAACTTCCTCTTGTTACCTGCAATAGAATCCAGGTGCTCTTTCAACTGCATTTGCTCAGATAGTTTTCCTGAAAACCACAAAGACATACACCTTGCTGCTTGAGCTATGCTGTCAAATTCCCATCTTTGCATGAATTTAGCTTGAATGTACATTAAGGTATCAGTCTGCAAATAATAACACAATGATCACGCACCCACACACACACACAACATGATAGGATAGAAGGTAAACATCAAACACATTATAAAGAGTGTAAGAGAAACTTACCTGAAGCTCATTTAAATAGCTAATACCACAAACATTGTTCCATGCAACTTCAAATACAATAAACCCATACAAGGTCCTATGCAATTCAAAGCAGAATGGCAGGGAATTCCTTAGATTTTTTACAGGAAGCATAGCCTTCTTTCTCGATAATGTCAATTCTTGAACTAATGAGGACCAGCTCAGAAACTTGTTTTGTTTACTTGTGTTTGATCCACAAACGTCCTTTCTTTCTCCTCGAGCTTTGGAAATGGCAAAAGGTGATAACCTTGACTGGAATTTACAAAGTTATGTAGGTTTATTTCAAGGACGAAGTAACATTAATGTAAAATCATGTGCTTAGTCACCTTGGTAACCATCAATTGCCATAAGTGTGCACTTTGGTAGCCTAGGTCTCTCACCCAAGGTCGGTTGTCAACCAAAATATATACCATTTTACTATCATTGGCAAGAAAAAGGCTAATATCTGAGAGGTAAGACTGCAAGTCTCTGAAAAATACATCACAAAATGATGCTTAAAATATTATGAAACATAAAGAAATTTAGAGAAAATAATACCACATACACCATATATCCATAGTCATCGAATAATGTAACAATATTGGATAATAACACCTTATAAAATCATTCATGATTTGTCTTCATCAAAGTTCTCTGACTTCTGTAAAAGGAATCTTTATAAATCTATGATTTTTATTTTGAAAAAAAAATTGACCAATGTGACTAACAAGTTGAATAGTTGACAGAAACTATAACGCAACAACTAAAATAGGATCAAGGTGTACAATGCTATCATTGTTATTGTATCTTAAGAAACCAGAAATCTTGTCAATTCCAATTTGAAAATCTTAATCACATGCCACATAATTGTTTTTAAATTCATCATCTTTGGATTAAATAAGTTCTATGCTGCTCAAAACTTGGAAGCGTTAAGAGCATCATATAAAAATACCTTTAACTTAAAGGGATAAAGAACCAATAAGGGGCCTTTGAAATAATGAAAATACCATATATTGTTTTGCAAATATTTACATAATATATGGATACATTAAGCATGTGATCCTATACCGGTGTACTAACACAACAATTATTAAAAAGACTTAATAGAAGTTTATATTTTATATTGATACTTATTAATTAAGTTCTATTAAATCTATATTAACTTAAATAAAATCAAATAAAATTAAATTTAAAAATAAAAGTAAAAAATATGATAATACTAATTTTTATAAATGTAGAGGATTAATTTTTACAAATTTTAACTATGATAAATTTAATATAATGGAATATCATTCATATTTATAACTTTAAATATTATTAATTTTTTGAGAGGAAAAAACTTCAACAAAAACATTGCCCTCATGGATTTAAAATCCTAAATCCGCTACTGATATGAGCTAATTAATATAACTAAAATACATAGAAACTCCATAAACAGTAAGATAGTTGCATATGTCCTTATCATCTCCAAATATTTAAAATTAATCTCCTAATATTTAATTTTATTTTTCAAAGCTCTCTACTGTTAATTAACTTTATTATGTTATTAATGGAGTTTATCGTATCAAGTTAAAAAAGTTACATAGAAGTTTATATGATATTTTATATAAGCAAATAATAAATGTATAAAAATTATATTGTACTTTAAATATTTATTTTTGTATTAGTTTTAAACATTTACTTTCGTATTAGTTTCATGCATGTTTTTTTCTTATCAATGGTGCATAGTTTCTATGTTAAAGGATATATTTTTATTTATATAATTTTTATCAATGATACTTTTTAGATATTTTTCTTTTCATTTATTTAATATAAAAAGCTATTTTAATTGATAAAGAATAATAAAATTATAGTTTTTTTCTCTTAAAAATTGTGTTAACAATAATAAAATCACTCAACTAAAAAAATAAGAGTATTATCAAGTGAGTTAAAGGGAAAAATTATAGTTTTATTACTCTTTAAATTGTCTTAAAAATCAATAAAAAAATTTTTCTCATATTACACACCATGCATATTTCATTAATTTGACATGACAAATTTTATTAATAATATAACAGAGTTAACTAACAATAGGATATTTTAAAAGGAAAATAAAATTAAAAGTTATAAGAGTTAATTTTAAATATTTGAAAATAAAAAGGTCATATGCAATTATGTCAAAATTAAAAATAAAAATAAAATGCATTTTACTGAATTAATGTTGCGTGAAACAATTCTAAGAAACATAATAATTTAAAAAAGATAAATCACAATGCATTATGAATAAATTCAAGGTTTCCCTAATTATTTCATAATAGCAAGCTCATATTAATTTACAGAACAATTTCATCGTACATGCGAAACATCTTCAATCAGTTCATAACCAAAAAAAAAAAAAAACAAAGAGAGATTACCCAATTTGCAAACTGGAAAGAGGAAAAATGCAGATCCCATCGTCCTCTTTTCCCATGAAGACCAACCCGTACGACCTCCTTCTTACCCAAATATTTTCCAGCCAAGCTTCTAATTTCTGCTTCAAAAGCCACAACACAGAAAACCGATCAGCTTCCATGAAAAAAAAAAACAAGACAATTCTAAAGAAACATAAATGCATAGGAGATTGGGAAAAAGGACCTGACAGATCGGAATTCCATAAAATTTGAACGAAGAAGCTATCAACGAGGAACTTCATAACAGAATTCCCAGGTTGCATAAATGATCAAAGTCAATATGGTAGCAATTTAATTTTTCAAATGATTGGTATTCGAGACAGGAATTGAATAGTTAGATTGACGAATACGTATTCGAATCTCAGAATCAAATTACAGAAAGTGGAAAGTTTGTGTCTATTGTATCAACCGTTAATGTTCTGAGTTTTGAAGGCGGAAGGGGTGGTGAGGGTAGAATGGTAAACTAGAGAGTGCGGATCTTACGCTTCCCGCCAATATCGTCATCGTTTTATCCTTATGGATAAAGAAAGAAACATATTTTTTGAGGAGACAAAAGAAAAAAAGAAGAGAAAATTGGAAAGGGAGAGACATTCGTAGCATGTTTTTTTTAGTTTTTACATAGAAGAAATTATTTTTCTAATATTTTCCTATATAAAATTAGAGAGAGGTTACATATTGTTAGGATCTGACAATTAAATTATTAAAATACAATCTTCATAGTTCTTTAATTAAAATTTACATTATATATTGATGATATATTAATTATATCGTACAAAATATAAAATTTTTATTAGAGATTGTTAAAACCATGAGTTGGGCAAGGGGGAAAAAAAGTAAACTAACCCGTAATTGTCCTAGTGACATTTGCTATAGCCGTTTAAGAATAATCCTTCATATTTAAGTCATGATCATATAACCAATGGGTGCTTATCTGAGCGGTTTGAAGCTTAGACAGTTTAATTTGGAGTCTTGTGTTTGAGTCTCAAGATAGGCAAATGTGCAACTGAGCACACAAAGTGTGTCTCACTAGTAGTACCGGCAAAATCACCACATTAAGGAGCCAACTTACACAAAGATTCAAATTAGTCTGGAATGGGGTAGGTAGACAATGAATCTAAAATACTCACACTCTCCAAGATAATGGGTGCTGGAATTATGATTAAAGGTAACTCATTTAAAATCTTAATATCTATATTATCGAGTTTGATGTGCAAGCTAATATGCACAATTACTCTGAAAAGAAGGTTCAAATGTAATCATCTTGTCTCTCATACGGTAAGGTCTTTGATCTCCATGGCCATCCAACCTACTTTTTACGCTTGAAAGCCCACGTAACGAAGGACAAGTGCGTTAATTTTTTTAATAAAATTAAATCAATAATTAATTAAAAAAGGGAGAATCACAACTAAGAATTTGACAAAAAAAAGTTCACATAATAGATAATTAATTAAAAAAAATAAAGAATCATGTCTAAAAATATGACAATTTTATTTTTCACAAACAATAACTAATACCAAGTCTGATTCAAAAAAATAAATTAATATTTTTACTTTAACAATAATTTGTTTTATATTAGTCTTCTTTTTTGGTAATAATTTTATATTAGTCATTTCCCGAATAAGTTTGTTAATGAATCTTGAGTGTGATTATCCCATTAAAAAAAATCCAAGAGCTAAAAGGTATTTTGCTGGCCCAAAAAGAAAAAAGTTTCATTTAAAAAAAAATAGTAATAAATGAAAAAGAGATAGGGTTAGTCTGGTCAAGATTCAAGGGAAGGATAGATGAGGTGCGGTACTCACTAGGTCTGGGTTCGCTCCTATATAAACAGTATCTCTATCATTTTTATCTCTTCATTCCATCTTCATTAATAGCCGCTTCCACGGTTTCTCTTGCTTGTGACTGAGAACTGTTCTGCGAGGCCATTTTCATTGTAGATCTGGGCCTTGATGAGGTTGCCGAATACAACAGGAGAGGGTGAGCGAGTCAAAAACGATCCATCTCTGTCTCTGTTTTGATTTTCTCTTTTCTGGCTTGTTATTGTTCTTCTCATGCGCTGTGTTAATCAGGTCCGACGCCACGTCGCCGGTAGCTAAAAAGCAGTGACCGGCGATGCTATGATCGGACCCAGAGTGAGCTCTATGTTTCGCATTTTGATAGGAATCCGTGGATCTCTCCTCTAATGATCCTTCGGTGCCGATTTGTGCGATTATATTTTCAGAATTGTCGTTATTTTATTCATTCATTTATTTATTTTTACGGGTTTGAGATACTGAAGTCGATGATGATTGCAATTATATGTTGCAAGTGCCGTCTGAAATTGTTGATTGATGTCAAATGCAGATTGACTGAGACTTCCTTCTCTTCAGATCTAAGTTCACATTTTCATCGAATGAACGGCCATTTTCTTCGAATGAAAATTTTCATTGGCAGTTTTCTTAAAACTTATATTTGGATTTTTCACTTTGTTAATTGTCTATGACCGGCCTGGTTGTTTTCGGTTTCTTCGCCAAGTCCTGTGTTAAACGGCCATCGAACTCACCACTAACAGACCCGGTCCGCACTAATCTTAGATAAAAAGTTTACTGCTATGTTCTTATGTCATATTGGGGGATTCAAAATGGCAAAGTGAAGGGAAAAGATTGAGCACTCGTACTCACGTTCAGTAATCTCGTGCATTGATTTCTCATAACAAGCCACCTCTAAGCATTTTGGTCCACCTCCAAAGGAGGAGATATCAATGGTTGATGGAAAAAACCAATAATAAATATACCCTTTTTTGTTGTAGGGCAATTTCTAAAAAAAAAATAATCTAAAGCATTTAATGTGATATTAATTATATTTTTTAATATTATATCTATTTAAATTTATTAATTATGAGAGAAAATATAATGTAAATTTATAAAATTCTCACTGAAATGGAGATAAAATTGTAATTTCATTTTACTTTGAAACAAAATTAATCATTTAATTCTGACCCCAAAAAAAATGTCAATCATTTAATCATTTCTCTTGGGTTAGGCCGAGTCACACATGTCCAACATATGTCACAGAACAATTTACATGCAATTTTTTTTCCCTTTTTAACCACGTGGGGATTTGATCCTAGTACTTGATTAAGATTAAAAAATAAATAATTTTTAAATGGTTTAGATATTTTATAAAAACAAACGTTATTTTATGGTTAGTTATAATAATAAAAAATAATTATTAGTTACTTATTTCAAAATTTTATTAAATCTTCTATAATTTTTGTTATATAAAAATTATTTATTATTTAAATATTTTAAAATTTTATAATAACTTTTAGTTCCCACATTTTTTAAATATTTTATTTCATCTATATCTATCACATTATATTATTTTTAAAAAGTTCTTTGAAGTAAATTTTTAAAACAATCAAAAATTATTTTTTAATTTTAATTGTTTTTTTAAATTTAAACAAATATCATTAAAACTCATAAAATAAATTTTTAAAAAAATAAGTAATTTTTTTTTTTATAAAATAAGCTGAAGTAAATGGACTTTTAATGGAACCACTTGGCGTCTAGGTTTGATCGGATTTCTTATTTGCAACTAGTTCACACCCTCCCATATAGTCCTTGTACAAAATGCTCCCTATAGAAATTGTGCATGGCATCTCTCCATTTAGTTTAGAAAGACCACTATAATTGTAAGCCATTTTATTGAATATGATGATTGAAATTTCATGCTTTTTAAAAGTATTAATTAATTAATTTATACTGATAAAATTTGATATGAAGGATTCTTTCGTGGAGCTCACATTGGAAGTAGAGTTCGCTGTCTTTATTTCCTCCTTTTCATTTCTTTTTTCTGATACGTGTTAAAAGTATAAATCAATTTATACTAATAAAACTTGTATCTTAACCTTGCCTTTAAGACTTACTCTCGAGTCTTTATTGTAAAATATTTTTAACCATTTTATTTATTTTGCAATAAGTTTTTCCTTTTGTTAAAAAATATAAGATATTTTTAATTAAATTTTACCTTCAATAAAATAATTACGTGTCTTCAAACTAACATTATCTTTTTATATTTATATCTATTTAATAGGGTGCTTCACTTTAAAATAAATATAAAGTGATTATTCAATAAGAACACTTTTAAAGAAATACAATAATTACACATCAAAATATTACAAATAAGGTGCATTTTTAAACATCAAATCATTCAAAAAATGTCTAATGGAGGGAGCAGTCTCTTTTTTATATAAAAAAATGAGACATACTTTTATTTTTTTGCTCTTAACTCTAAATAATGATATAATTACAAGATGATAATACTTTTATGTTAATCAAAAAAGTATTAAATTAAAAAAATAATTTAATTATTACAAGATATTCTATAATATTTTGGATGAAAAATTATTTTTAGAAGGTATCTATAAATAAAATAGAGGGACTATGAAACAGCAATGTTTTTCTTCTCATGTTTATCTGCTTCCCCTCATAATTTTCGTTTTAGCCTTTCATGACTAAAATATGGACCGTAATACTCTTTGCTCCTCCTCTGGTTCAGCCCATGATGTACGTTGCTTTACAGCAGAGATGAAGAATCAGCGCACATAAAAAAAAAAAAAAAAAAAAAGGAAAAAAGGAAAAAAGGAAAAAAAAAAAAAAAAAAGCAATCAATACATATAGCTGGCTGCCAATCAAGCAAAGGTGGTTGGTCCAAAGGAGAAAAAAGAAATAGCATATATTCGTAGTAAAATATGAATGTATTGTTCATTTCTTAGAACATATATTATGAAACTTTTTGACTGAAGAATATATTGATTTAAATAAAATTTTATACAATTAAAGAAATAATGTAAATAGTGAAACATTAGATAAAATAAAAAGAATAATACAAAAAAGTAAAATTCGAATAGTATAAAATAGAGAAATTATATATATATATATATATATATGTGTGTGTGTGTGTAATAGTATTGCTATCAGGAAAAAAAAATGCATGAAGGTTAATGCCAGTTGAAATATAAAATTTTTTGGCCAAAAAAAAGTTAAAATATAAAGTTATAAAAATTTTGGATAATGAAACTTTTAGTTTCTTAAGTTTATCTTAACTACCAATTTAATCCTTTAATTTTTAATTTTTATTGATTTAGTTGCTTACTTTTTAATTTAAATTATCATGTCAGTCATTTTAGTTTTAAAACACAAATCAAATTTCAAATTAATCTAATGTTGTTAAATTAACTCTTAAATCAATTTAATTTTTCTCAATTATTATGTATTTTTTTTTTTTTTTTTCAATTTTTGAGTTTGTTTTCCCCTACCTAAATGATTGCATATCTTTTTTATTAATCAACATGACTATCATCAATGTTTTATTACTCATGTTGGCAAGTTTTAATAGTATTACCTTTTTTTTTTAAACAATAAGTATAGCTAAAGTCAGCCAAAAAAAAAGTATAGATCAATAAAAATTAAATTTAAGAGAATAAATTGATAATTGAGATAATTTAAGAAACTTAAAGTTTCATTATCCCAAAAAAAAAAATTAAGGAGAAGGTTCATTGTTCATAATTTAAAGGAAAAATTTCATTAAAGGCCTTTGAATGTGAAATAATTTCAATTGAGGCCCAAAAAATTTTGAAATTTTACACAGGTTTCAAGGATTGAAATAAAATAAATTCTCTTAATTAAATTATCAAAATACTCTTTAATTATAATTAACATTACTAAACTAACTAGTCAAGTTACAGATTTTACAGGTGATATTAAAATAAACATCGCTTCTTTTTATGCTTTTAATATTACTTGTAAAAATCATAATTTAACTTGTTATTTTAATAATATTACTTGTTAAAATCATAACCTAACATGTTATTATGGTAATGTTACTTGTAAAAACTTTAACTTAACTTATTATTTTACTAATGTTATGTGTAAAAATTATAATTTAAATTGTTATTTCAGTTATATTATTTGTAAAAACCAAACCTAATTAACTTGTTATTTTAGTTATATTACTTGTAAAAACCGTAACTTGAATTGTATTTTTGTAATGTTACTTATAAAAACCATAACTTAGCTTATTGTTTCAGTAATATTAATTATAATTCAAGAACATTTTGATCATTTAATCAAAAGCATTTATTTCATTTTAATCCTCCAGGTCTGCAGTGAACTTTTAAAATTTTTTGAACCTCAATTAAAATTATGTCACATTCAATAGCTTTTAATGAAAGTCTCCCTAATTTAAATAGAGGTAAGTATGAATTATTAATAATCTCACATCCAAGAGCCTCGTCTTTTTCACACGCCCTGCCAAGAATAGTACAATCACGAGCTTTTCTTGTCCTCATTTTCTATTTTCTGCAAAGCCTCTGGGTCTCAATTCCAGCACCATAATGTTGTGTGTATTTGAATTAAAAAATTCTACAACTAATGTTAGAAATTAATTGAAGTTAGCAAACTAAAATTAAAAAAAAAAATCTATAAATACAACGTCATTTGTGTTTGAATACTTTTTTTAAAGTCAATTAAATAAATTAAAATTTATTTAGATGATTTAATTTAAAAACTTGTATAATAATAAAAAAATAGTTGGAAGGAATTCTATACTATATATTGTAATCATTCTTGCTACCATTATGGGATCCCCAATCACGAGTTAGATTTATGCTTGTTTTTCCTCTTCAGAGAGTGAAGTTAGTGGAATAAGCTTCATCTTCATCATTATGTCGATCCCTTTTTTGTTTTCTGTTTTTTTTAACTATGTGACGTCACAATACGAGGAGTTTTTGAAAGATGTATTACTTGCTCATGTCTTTATGTTGGGTCCTTGAATTTGTGCTTATGTTCCTAGGGTTTCAAGTTCCTTGCTCCTAGTTTGAGCGTTCAAGGTAACACCGATGCTATAGTAAGATCCAAGAGGTTCATTCCATATATTGCAAGTTTTTTTTGGTTGTCCCTACATTTAGATGAAGTTCAACAAAGGTTATTTTATCTTTATTTTTGCATAAGTACCCAATATCTTGAGCCTGTCTCATTTGAGCTGTAAGAACTTAATAAGGCTCAAACTAATTTAGATCAAAACATGAAAAACATTATAAGAGTGGGCACACCCTAACCACTTGATTCAAGACTTAAACTTGAAACCTCTGATTAAATTGAAACAATTCTTACCAGTTAATTCAAAAATCATTCATAGTTACTTTTTTAAGGCACAACCTAGTGGCACATTAGACTTCAGGGAGTTCTTCATATTCCTTGCTACTTGTTATTTTCTTTTCCAATGTCTTCTAATATTGTTAGCCCATGTTATTGTTCTAATCATCTAGCTAGCTTGAGCTTTTAATGTAATCTTTTTATTTTTTTTAATAAAATTTGATCTTTATATTAAAAAATTGGAAGAGTTTCAATGAAAAGACATACACATGGATATACTTCTTTGGGGACATAAAATCTTTTCATTTATTTATCATCATTTTCCCTCCACTTTACAAATCATAACCATTTATCAAATCTATTGTTAAAACAAACTCACTCAATACATTGAAATTCAGATTTTCTCCTTCATAAAGAAGAGCAGAAGAGAGACCAAGGCAAATCTAAATCGTTAAATTAAATTTAAAAATTTAAATTTGATAATTTTTAAAAATATAGATTTAATTTAAGCGGTTCAGATTTGCAGTGGAAAGAAAAATAAAAGAGACAAAGCCACCCCAATGTATTGATGTTAATAGCCATTAGGAAAATGAAAGAGAATGAATAATAAGAAAATGGAGAGTTTTCGCATCCCTTTTCTTGATTGCTCGAGTCATCAGTGGATCTTGTTTTCCGTGGGCTATTGTTTGTAGAGAAATTCCAAGATCAACATAAAAATATATGATAATGCCTTTTAAATTTTGAACTTGACATTTTATATTTATTCCTTTCTTAATTTTCAATTTCTAATTTTATATTTATTTTTCAATTTTATATTTACCATTGCACAATTTACAGATATTAATCCATCATCAAATGAATTAAATCATATCTGGCCATCATGAAAAATAGTGATAACTATAGAAACAATATCACAAAACTTCCAAACATTTCCACTTATTCATTTGTTTATCATAAATTTAAAAATAAGAATATCACCCATAACACACACAGACACACCCAATATGTGGGTCCCACATCTGCCTCTTCTTTATCCCTTTTTATTCATCTAATAAAATAAACTTTAGGTAATCTATAAGGAATTTTTGGATTCTTTACATTCATGCATTGATACATTTGAAGAAAGTTCCATAAAAGAATGTGACCCAATATAACAATTACAAACAAGAAAATTAACTTCAGTTTCTGAGATGGTACAGCTAGAAGCATAAATGTTCTCTTTATTGAATCTACAGAGAGAGGATGAATCCAAATGCTTTATAATCCTAAGTGGGACCCAAGCTTGACTTTGGTCAACAACCCAAAAAAAAAAAATGAGGGATGATTATGAAGAAAGAATATCACTTGTCATATTAATCATGAGTTCTGGAATGTGCACAAACTTGATAAAAGATGATCTAATCTAAGCTTCTTCTCATTCTCATCATCAACATCAAGTAGGTGGGAAGAACCTGTTGAGATTGAATGGCAAAGAATAGAATTCTTCATTTCTGCTATCTCCTTTGAACTTTCTGAACTTTGCCCACCATGTCATCCCTCGATCTTTCTTCGACCTGTCAACCTCGAGCGTGTTGTCAAGGAACACTGCCACGATCAAACCCACCGTTGCCGGTGACGTGAATATGGTGTTCATGAGTGCATTGAACTGCAAAGATGACACATTATCAGACATAAGATGAGCTCTTGATGTTGAAAAATTTCTGCAAGAAATAAGTGGATGGATGGTTTACTTGTATCTTAAACAATCTCAGTTTTCTTAAGACTACTTTCCACTTAATCCAATCAAAAGCCTAGAAACACTGAAATATTCTAACTTAAGTAAAAATATTCTAAATTATTTGATTTTGAATCAAACCATGAAGAAGTAAAATGTAACTTAAATTAACACAAACATGTTTGGCCCAACATTTCAGAAGAAGAGAGTTGTTTGGGCATTTTCTTTTTATTACTTTCTCATCCATGGGCACAATGTTAGATTAAATTTCATTTAATTCACATTAATTAATTAATGAGAATCTTTAATTTACATTCTAACCCATTTCTATGAGTGTTCTATGATAGGTTGGATCACACATAAGCCCATTTGGGTAGAGGCTTCAGCCTATATCCCTTTAGTCATCAGTGATACCCTATCATTATCTGACAATAATAAAGAAAATGGAATCTCTCCCTGATAGCTCTTACGATCCTTCTCTATTCTTCATAAGGCTAAAGGAGATCTACATCTTTTTCTCTTTACTAGGAGATCAAGTAAGCAACTATAAGTTCCTTTTTAGGTACGCAAACTACTCATGAGTCCATAAATTTGAGATCCTATCCATAAATCACAAGCATCTGTTTACATCCACAAAACTACTTTTTTTTTCCATTTAGTCTTTTCGATCAAATCTTGATTCTGTGTACTAAACAGCTAATTATGCAACAAAAGGAAAACTCACCCATCCAGCATTAGTATGAACAAGGCCATGATGTGGAGGATTCCAGTAATCATTGAAAAATTGAGGAATAGAAATTCCAAGGAACAATGATAGCCCAGTGATGATTAGGTTCCTCATGGAGTTCATGTTTGTGAACTGAAGAAATGATATTCCAACTGAAGCTGAATGAAGGAACAAGAAGAAGTAGCTGTGAATAGAGGAACCAAAATCAACTATGGCAATGGAAATTCAACTGAGCTAGTTTCTTGCTTACCTACGAGGCCAAAGAGAATGCAGTACAGTGCAGTGAATATCGGGAATGGTATAGATGCGAAAACAGCTCCAAACTTTCCTGCAGAAACGAACAGAAAAATCCACAAAAGCTTGTGTAAACGAACCTGTCTTGTTACTCTGATGTCTATTTTGTCATCATAACAGAAAACAAGTTTGAATTGTTAAGCTCAGAACATCAGAAAAGATTGAAAAATGTAAAATGCAATCCTTTCACTTTGTCATTTGGAAATAAACTCAAAATTATCCCAAAAGTTTCATCCTATTTGCACTATAAAGGAAGGACAAAACTGGAGTAATGCATTTTGCGATCTACTATATCTTTGTTATCATTACACAGCAATGTCTCTCTCTTCTTTAATACTTTTTCAAAGTAGGGGCACTAATCACTTCTTTTCTTCTCCATTCTTTCTAGTCTGTATATCAAACAAGGCCTTGAGGTTGAGGCATTCATTCTTGGACAATTATAATATTTTTACTGCTGCCATTTTAAACCAATTGGGGCAGGCCGTGTGGCAGGATAAAGGCTAATCCTCATTTCAAAGTTGAAGGCGTTCATAATTATGTAAACTTGAAGAGGTGTACTTTCATTTCCAAAAGAAGAAACTAGTACATGGGAAAGAAATAAAACATCAGAACCTCATTTCTGTTATATCAGGGGTGCAGATTAATGTTTTGAAAGAACTATACCAACCTAGCATAGAGAAGAATATCATGAAACCAGCAGAAATCTGGACAACCCTTCGACTTCCAACTCGGGTTAGTCCAAGAAGCCCTACATTTTCTCTAGAACACCCAATAAAGATGGTCATCAATCTAATATTCCAATATTAAAAAGATCAAATACAAGAAGACACTTCCAGTAAATATCTCAAAAAAAAGTGTCACTTACACAGAAACAGTAGAACCTGTTCCTGTTCCATAAAGTCCGCTGAGCAAGACACCGATGCCCTGAGCAGGATTAAAAGGATTAGCTGTCAGACACATCAAGTTTCTTACCTATAATAATGCTGCGATGCATTTCTTGCAATTCAAGTAACATGACTAACAAATCAACATAATCCAAGATTAACAATCAGTATGATCATGGACAGTACTTTAATAATAGCTGATTTGTGCTAAGTAGTGATTTACCTGCCAACCGATGCCTCTACTCAGAACATAAGCAGGAGGTGGAGTTGCGATTGCCAACCGAGATGCTGCCTTGTATCCAGCGGTTGACTGTATATCCAGCAACATTTACACTATGATTATTCTAAATTCTAATCAATTGGTACACACATTGTAAATGGATGGAATGGGGAAAAAAAATTAAGGTAAAAATTGAGCATCATCCTCCCACTTTGAGGAAGTACTAAAAAGAGATAGAAACAATTTGAATAATGATTATAATGGTATTGTACACATTGCAAAACAAGGAAGAAAAATCCCTTTGTTTAATTGCCACCAAACAATTTGAATAATGATTATAATGGTATTGTAGCATTGCAAAACAAGGTAGAAAAAATCCCTTTGTTTAATTGCCACCAAACAAGGCCTTTGTTTGTAGTGTTGGGGAAAATATCTTCAGCTACTCAAACAATTTTTAGAATGTGAAATACTTTAGTTACAGAAACAGTCAAGAGATATAATTGAACACAAAGGTAGCAGTTGGCATGTGGGTATTCTAACTTTTCAAGACCTTTGGAAAGTTATTTATAAAATATTTAAACAAGACATATAACAGAAAAAAAAATCATAAATATTACATAGAATACATGTAACAGAAATATTTAAAAGCCCATGGTGGTTTTATTCAAACAGCTTATATCAGTGAATGAATGTTCACCTCAACCATTGAGACAATAACTGCAGACATTGTAGCAAATGCATGGCCAGCAGAGAAGGTTGGTGGACCCCATTGGAGAGGGTATGGGAACATGAACCTATTAGCATGGAAAGAACCTCAAGACCACAGCAAAAAAGTGTGCACATAAGAATTAATTGAACAAAAAATAGTGTACCATGGGGCTGTAGATATCAGATTTGCTTTGTCTGTACGACAATGATGCTGTGTTCTAGAAGGTTTATGCCGGTAAGCCCCGCTTGCAGTCAATATAATAGCATATATCCAAATAATTGCAATGCAAATCAACACTGGAAATCGTTCAAATATAGGGGTATCTCTAAATGGTCTCGCCTGCTTCAAATACTGCAAATTTTACAGAATTAGTTTTGTCTGAAGGAAGAAATAATAGTATGTTTTATCTGTAATTTTCCACTCACTTGAGACAATCCAATCACCAACAACAGCATTGGTAGACCAATTTCTACACAGTTTCCCAACTGAAATAAAGAATCAAATAATTGAGTAAACTTGGGTCCATGTGATATCATAAGGAAAAAACGTTCCCTTTCCAATTCAAAAACAAATAAAAGAAAAGAAAAGAAAGAAATAAGCAATAACTATTGTGTCAGTCGTATCATTACTCTACAATCTGCGTACAAAATGAGGCATTAAACTTAGATAGGATGGGAATAAGGTTTCAATCATGGATTAGAGAGCTCAGTGAGCTAATTAATTAATGTATCCTTTTGAAAGAAACTTCATCAATACACTTAAGTTTAGAGGTAAAATCAAGAACCATTCAGAAATCCAATATGATAGAAATTAGACTAAGCCTTCAAAGAAGTAGAACTTGAAGCAGAGGTCTAACTCTAATCTTCTGCATAAAAAATAGAGGCACTTAAAACAGGTATCAAATTCAGAGGTTGCACTCAATGAAAATCTTTTAGATGCTACGGTTAAGCATCATTCAGGTTAAGAGTCCTTTTATGATAAAACGGTACGGTCAAATAATTTGCCACATCATTTTATGTTTTCCATAAAAAATCCTAAGGTTGTCCAAATGTATAACATGTAAAGCTGCTCATGGCAACACATACCGCAGGAAATCCTCGTTGAAATAATCCTAATCCAAGCAATCCAACTACAGGTGCCATGTTAAGAGGACTGAAAAATCTGGAGAGAAGATCCATAAACCATATTTTAGCAAATGCTTGGACATTTTGATTATGTAATTTATATTTCATCAATATCATCAAATGCAACTTGTGTACTTTGAAAGTAGTCCCCACACTTGGCTGTATCCCAGGATTATCTGAATACTTGAGGCTACAATCAAAGCTCCTTGTATAGCTCGCATTGACTGGATAAATCTCTGCCAATGACAAGGTAAGAACCTCGATCAATAATCAGACCGCAAGAAAGAAAAGAAAATCAATGTTAAAGCCAATGCACTACCAAAGTAATTGACCCCAGTGAAGTGATGGATGGAGGAAACTTACTTCATGATCACTCATTCGCTGCAATGAGGAGTCGCTGATGATATAACCAATTGGAATTAAATAGGCATAAGATCCTCCAACAACAGCAGGCAATCTGGTTCCAAAAAGTGATTGGAGAAGTGTGTTGATGCCAGCTACACAGAGTAAAGTCTGTATTACTCTTGCTTTGTCACCCTGGTTGTATGAGCAAGCAAAACTAAATGCTTTGTACACCATATTAACAGAACCTGACAAGACTATCTTGGCCAAAATTTAACCTATATAGTTAAAAATACTTCTGTGAAGTTTTGTTAAGTTACAAATTAGAATGGGAATTGGCACATGAGATCAGCAAGCATAATATAACTAAAGGTAGACACATGAGGATACGAAGCATAAACAAATTGATTTTTTTTTTTAATTGACAAAAGTTTAAGTGAGCTAGATCTTAGAAGCTCACTAGGACCAAGACAAGCTTCAAAGCTCAAAGAGTGCTTACAAAGGTACTTACAAATTATTCACCAACAAAATCCTCACATCAGTAACGGAAATTGATCCCACAATATTGTGGTTATGGGTCAAATCCTTACCAATTAGACCAACTATTATTGGTTAAAAAAAACTGATATACCATTCCTATATGCTCTTTAGTGAATCAAGAATAGGCATGCACATGTAAGCCAATAGTGAAGGAAGTTGAAAAGATGAAAGAAGACTAGGCAGAAGAAATTCAGCTTACATCATTTCCTCCCATAGCTGGAACGAGCACTGAAGGGATCATCACACTTGTACCCAGCACCAATATGTAATTTTGAAATCCTAGTATTATAGTTTCCACTGCAACATAAGGCATTCACTATGAGCAGGAAAAGGGGCAAATTGAATTAAAAAAAGAATAGAATGCAAAGAAACATCTAACTAGACCAAAATATGCAACTATTCACTCTCTAAATATTGAAGGTTTTATACTGTAACTTAGATCATACATTTGTTCAAATTTGAGAAAGCAAGAGCTTTTCTCACGTCAAGATATATGGGGTGTTAAAGAATCCTCCACCTCTCTCTTCCCCCCCACTTACACGCGCACACGCGTGCACAAACACAACACATTATGGTTTAGTTGAAACATGGTTAACATTGTAAGCAATATCTACCAAGCTAGAAGAAACTAAGCAGCAGAATATGAGAATAGCTTTCTTTTATCATCTGACTTGCACAAGCAATATATCACTAGCTTTCTCAGTTTCATCGCTATGACTACATCTCTTAGTTCCAGATATCCGAGTAGCTTAAACCAATTAACCATACAAACTGATTTAATTTCCTAATAGTTTCAACGTATGTAAGCTACAGCAAAAAATAAATAAATGATATATAACTCGGTTATTGTCGATGGAACATTAACTCATGCAGGGGCTGCCAACATAATAAATTAAATAAATAAAGGGTTAGCTTTAAATAAATATGTGGGACCAAGGTGAGCTTGGTTAAATAAATATGCCAAAGGCATCCCAAAATATCAATGAGGCTGTTGTTAATAATAACGGTCCCACACAATGAGGCGTTGGCTAGCTAGGAGGTGGTAATACCAAAGGATAAACAGAATAAAAAAAAATCCAATAAAATAAAATAAATATGTGGGGCCACTTTAATCTCTTCAGTAATTAACGATTCATTAACCAGAACAAACCAGAAGGAGAAAATTGCTTAACCTTGACAGGTAGAAGGACAAGTTCGCATGACATAATGCCATTATTTATAGTACTCTTTCGCGACGCATGGTTATTACTCTTTCGTAGCGAAGGACAAGTAAACATGATAATGAAGTATTGGGAAGCTCAAGATGCTAATTGTAAAGCCAGAAGCCCAGAATGCACAGTGTACATTTGTTTCCAAAAGTACAAAGAAAATTACCCTCAGTGAACAAACAAAAGAGAAACATAAAAATTTGAACTTTTAATCGACACACCCAGAAAGAAAGTGATAGCACATTTCCCCACTTGTTTAGTTACTCATGAAACTCAAAATAAATAGAGGCATTTTCCCTTCAATTTAGAAATGTTTGTAATGAAAATAAAAAGTTAATAGTCATAATACTTCAGAAAATGACCAGCTTTCCGCCCTCTGTTTTGTGAAAGGGGAAAAAAAATGACTGCAAGCTTACAGTCAAATCAATATTTAAAAAGCTCCTTTTTTTTTTTTTGGGCACATGATTAAGAGAGGAAGACAAGAACAAGAAGCAATAGAAAATGGAAGTAATAATGAGTAAGGTAAGAGACAACAAAACAAGAAATATATAGAGAAACCCACAAAGCACATTTCTTTAAGCGTTAAAAACAGAAACAGACAAAACCCAATGAGATTATAGAAAGAGAAAGAGCGAGGCGTACCCCACGGAGGATTTGAGTCTATGCAGTACTCAAGGTCCGGAAGCTGATCCATAGGTGTATGGATACTGTCCGCCATTGTTGAAGCTTCTGACAAAGCTCACACACACGAAGAAGAAGAAAACAGAGAGGCAAAAAAAAAAAAATTAATAGCAGAGAAGAAAGGAGGAAGGAAAGGTGGAAGGAAAGGAATTCAGAACAAAGTAAAGTGCAGATATAAAGTGAACAAACAAAAGCATGAGACCGAATGAATAAGGAAATCAATATATATATATATATATACATGGGCAATGGGAAGTAAGTCACAACTCCTGTGAAACGCCCTCTGGCCTATTGTGTTGTGTGGTCGATAAGCTTGTTTTTTTGAATCAGATTGTAGAATGGCAAATCCACCCATAAATCTTCCATTTCTTTCTCCTAATTGAGTATTACTGACCCTCAACAACATACTGAAAACCTGATAATTAAATTGATCAATTTACTGATTTAATAATGAATGGTCAAAATTATAGTTAAATCATATTGATTATAAATGAAAATATTTTATCAAACTGATAACTAAGCAAATTGACTTGAATTTTAATGCTATTCTCTGAGCTCATATAAGCGCCATGTGGGCCACAATTTAGAAGTTCTTAAGTGGGGCCAGTGGAACTTGGAAGGAAGCTGCGGAGCTTCATTTCAAGGCTTTTTGGGAGAACCTAGAAAAGGAGGGAAGCATTGCTTTTTTTTTTTTTTTTTTTGGGATAAAGGAGGGAAGCATTCCCTTTTAATGAACTTTTGGATAATGAATGGAATGACTACTTTACCCTAGGAGATAAAGGAAAGAATATCTAATTTGAAAATATTTATATGGAATATTTAAAATTGAAAATTTTGATTTGGGACCTAAATTATAATTATTTTAAAATATTTAATATTAAATGTTTCATAATAATGTCAAAAAATTATAATATAAAGTTTGGTAAGTAAAAAAATTAGAAAGAAAATAACAAATGCACTTATTCCATTTTCTTTCTAAATACTTTTTCATTTTAAAAAAAATACTTTTCTATATGGTAAACATTTGCATATAGGTTAATATAAATATTTTCATTATGAATTATGGAGCAACAGTAAGTTGTTGAGGTATGAGAATCTAAAATCAGTTATTAACACTAAATTTTTGTGATTTTTTCTTGACCGTTATAAACAAATCAAATCCAAGGCAAATTCAGTCATTTGAAATTCAAATTGTTTGATACTAAGTTTTCCTTCTTCTTTTTTTTGTAGTGAATGTTTTAATACCAAGTCAAACAGTATGAATCTGCCAAATTTAATTCATTGTAACAAAGCAAAACAAATCAAACATAACATTCGGGTTTAATATTTCATAAATATAAATGAATAAAGTCATAGACAACTTTGATTCATTAATCCTTTGTAATTGATTATATTATTATAAACTCAGCCATTATGCTAACCATTGTCTAGCTTTATATATAACACATTTCTTATTTAATATGGTTAAATATAAAATAGTTGTTCCCCCTTATTATATTGCATTAAAATTATTTATTATGTTTCTTATTTCTATAAGAATCAAAGGGGTTTCTCGTAATTATTAATATTTGAAATAACGTTTAATATTTATAAAATGTATCGTATTTTCAAAATTATGATATTATTGCTCTGTAACCAAGACTGAGATGTATAAAAATAAGAAAATAAAAATGCTACAAGAAATATTACACATGCAATGAGAAATACTAAAAACACATATAACATGACATGAAAAGATGTTATAATGTAAGGAGAATCGCACTACAAGCCCTAAAACAACACAAAATGTTACTTTAGGCCTAATATATTATGATATTGCACTGCAGGCCCAAGAGCCTTTGTTCTAAATTTTTTCAAGAACGAAAGTACAATTTTACCTCTTTGTGATTTGAAAACCCAGATTATATATAACACAATGTCCATGGATATATAACAAAATGTCCATGGATACACAACACAATATTGATTATATTTATTTGCATGTACAACACAATGTTTGTAACATCTTGAATTTTAATCCTCAGTTAACTAAGTTTAATTATGAGAATTAAGTAAATTGACATGGTGTGTAATTAAGGAGGTCTAATGACTGATTTTGGGTTGTGTTCTGGCCCTAATTATGGGTCCAGTATGGAGTCGGGCCAACCAGGCATCGAAAAGAGGAGAAAACAAAGATACAGTGTTTATGTGCCACACGCTGCAGTGCATAAATACAACAAAAGCTAAAAGGGAGCCTTTCTGTGCCATGCAACGCGCGCACAGCCATTTCTATAGTTTAAGTTGTGAACTAAGATAGAAAATAGAGAGAAAGAAGGAGAGGGCGAGAACAAGTAATCTAGCTCTGCTAGGGTTCATATTGAGAAAGTATTTATGACATTTTGGAAGCTAGAAACACCAAAGGTAAGTATCATACCCTTTAATCTCTCATTTTCTTCCACATTTATGAATTTTATAGTTAGGGTTTGATAATGGGAAATGTTTTCGGTCCATATAAATTATGGTCTGAATCTATTAATTCAAATGGAGTTAATGAGAGTGTATTAGAGTACCTAAACCTAAATATATTGAATTTTGACATTTTTGGTTGTTGGGCCTCATTATTATGCAAATTTAGTATTAATGAGGGTTGTGGGAAGAGTTAAAATGCCATTAATGAGAGTTTAATGACTCATTAATGTTATTGGAGGCTAAAGAGAGTTAGTAAACCTAATGGATAAGCCCAAATGGTGAAATTGATGTTATTGGGAAATGGAAGAGTGAAAATGTGAGTTGGTAGTGTGCTCTTGATAATGTTAATGAAGGTTAACTTGGTAAATTGTAGATTAAGCTCTTGAACACTAATTTAGCTTGGAACTTCAAGCTTGGAAGCTATAATATTGAGGGATAAACCTTTAATCTTTTAAATATTTGAGGTAACCGGGAAAACCTTACTTTGAGCAGTTGTATGTTAATTGATTTTGAATTGTGAATTGTAAAAGATACATGCACAAGTTGATTTTCAATGTGAAAGCATGTTATTAGTTTTGATAATGTTTGAAATATGAAGGTGTATAATGTTATAATTGATCTGAAATGTGGATTGAAAGCCAAAATGAGTTTTCAAACTATGAACATGTATATGATTTGAGATGAGGAAATGTGATGGGCATGATGGGATAAATGTGTATGGATAGATTTACATGTTAATGTGAAATGAGTATTGATGCTCACTTGGGTAGCGCATGATCATGAGCCCAATGTGTTGAATTATAATAATGAATAAATGAGAATGTGAAAATGTGTGAGCATTGTACATGACATGATCAGTAGGTAGGAGTTTGCCTAAGGATTGGGAGTCGAGAAAATTCATATGGTATTTCGACTACCCTCCAGTGCACGAGAGTATAGCATTGGCCCACAATTTGTTAAGAGACTGTCTTATAGTTTGTCGAGGGACTAGAACCTAGTTATCTCCACCAGTTTATCGAGGAGATTGGCTTAGGACATACAACACCGCAAAGATTCGAGAATGGGGGAAATTATGGCCTGAGAGTGAGTCATGTAATCTTTGGCAGGGTTAAACCTCATAATTAATGAGCTTGGGTAGTCCAATCACACAGATGGAACCCTATTTAGTGATATAGCCCACTGTTTCAGTTGGAAGAAAACAAGAGGGTATACGATTGGTTGATCATGGCCTATGTAAATCTATGACGTGACATATGTTTGAGTTGTGGCAAGTCATATTGATATATCGAGTCATGGTCATATGTCTGAGTGTCTTGTGACAATGTACCTAGCATGTGTGTGATGAAAATGTGTTAATTAGAATAATAAGTTATGGTATGTGGTAAGCATGTTTTAAGAACTTTGTTTCATATACTTGTGTTTAATAACAATTGATATATAACTACATAGGGTGGGTTTTATCTTGGTTATTGAGTGGCTACACTCACCCGTCTTCTTTAACATTTTACTAGCTTTAGCTTTAGTATTGAGAGGAACAAAGCTCGTGAGGATTAAGAATCTGTGTATTCCTTCTTGTATGCCTCTAGTATATGCTTATTTTGTGTAATAGAATATTATTACTAGTTCTAGGTTGCATTTTGTTCACACTTACACTGTATGGGTGTTTTAATTATTCAAATTGTATTTTGGGTCTTAAGAAATTGTGTATGATAAGTTATATATGTTGATATGGCCAAGATACTAGTGCAAGTGTAGAATTGTTGTTTTAAACATAGTGGAATTGATATTTGATGCGATGCAATTGAAATTACCTCTCCCTCTATTTTTAGTATGTAAGGAGTTGAGGAGCGAGTTTGTGTTATATTAGTGAATGAATACATATGATGTATTGTACTAGTAGTTTTAGGTCCAATAAGTATGGTTTGGGTGTTAAGAAAGGCTTTTGGAACTTGTTTTTGGTTTTAGACACCCTTTTATTTTGAAAAGTTGTTAAAAGGGATAAAAATGGGTTTGGGTATCCAACCTCCTGGTGTGACTTGTTTTAAGAGTAAAACCCATGCCATTAGCTAGTTCATGAAAAAAGCTTTTCATAAATACCTAGATCACATCATTCGAATATCAGATAAAGATATAGGGCACTTTAAAATTTTTTCAATTTTGCTATCAAATGACAACAAAATCTACTATCAAAACGTGCAACACGCAACGGTGCATTAGTGCCTGAGCTGTGGCACGTGGCACAAAGAGCAACAACCGTAGTGTGATGTACACAAGCCATAGCGCATTTCTTTGTTTTTTAAGCAAACTTGATATTTTTCAATTGTTTTCAACTTCTTTCACTCCTTTGAGGTATCTCATGCTTTCGTAACTTATTTTTACTCTAATTTAAGAGTTAATGAATGGTTTTGATTCATTTCAAATTGTGAAAACTTAGGATCCTTACTTTTCTTAATTCACAATTTGATAATCTATTATGAGCCATACTCTTGATTATCATGATAGATAGTCTTACCAGTGTTTAGTCAGGTGAGATTTTACAATATCCATGAATGTACAATACAATGTCCATGGATGCACAAAATATTGTCCATGTGTGTCCACGCATGGACATTTAGTTGAAAACTCATGAACATTGTGTTGTATATTGTGCGCATCACTTGTACATTTTATTAAACCTAATAATCAATTAAACACGTATGAACATTATGTTATGCATTGATGAACATTATGTTGTGCATTAATGGACATTATATTGTGCATGATCTGAGTTTTCAAATCATATAAGGGCAAAATTGTACTTTTGTCCTAAAAAATTGTAATAAGAGCCCTTAGGCCTATAGTGCAATAACAAAATCTATTGGACTTACAATGCAATTTTTGGCTCTTTTAAGGCTTGTAATGCGATTCCCCTTATAATGCAATAAAAAAAAGATGTTATAAAGAAAAGAAATGCAAAAAAGGTGAACTTATGAATATTTCCATTCATAAATTATAGAATCTAACATATTGAATAACCTCTGTTTTTCCTTGGAGTAAATAAAGCTCCATCCGTCTCCTTGAAAATTTGGAAGGCTTCTTTTAATAACCATCACAACCTGATTTTGCAATCCCGATGAGTTATTGATAGGTTTGGTTCCTGATGCATGCAAATCAATTTCATCCCATATACATATAGGCTTTAGAAAGTAGTACAAATGATGATAATCTTGAATGGCTTTGCAAATATCAAGCTTGTGACCATCACAAATGATTAAGTTTCTGAGCCTCCAAATACTATGGGTTAAAATTATGAATCTCTCTAAAAGATCAAATTTCCTATCCAGAATAAGATGTTTGATGAAATCCTTCTAAGATTGCAAATAACATGAGCAATCCAAAAAATTAGATTTCAAGGAGAAAGCACCAAACCAAAGAGCCCTTGAAAAAGGGAAACCCAAAAAAGATAAGGAATGTATTCCTCGTCTTGGAATCCAAAAGTGCACTTGTTATTAATAGACAAGTGGTGCCTTTGGATAATGTCATTAGAGGAAATTGCATCACGAAGAAGCTTCCAACAAAAGACAAGATACTTTGAAGGAAGCTTAAGCTTTCAAAAGCAAGACCAAGGGAAATTATCTAGATTGTTACTTTCCCAATTGGTGGCAAGAGACCTGAAACCTAATCTAGAACTGTAAGAGCTAGAGGTGCGCCCTTTCCACACCAACTTATCATGTTGTCCCAAGAACGAAATACGGATATAAGTAATAGCTTTGACTGAGCGAGGTAAATTTGTTGTAAGACATTGACATTTCGTTATAGTGGAAACTAGGGGGAGTTAGTGGGAGAGATAAGATCAAAGATATTGAGATGGGAAAAAATCAAATTTATTGGAAAAGGTCTTTCCAAAAATTCATTAATAAGCTTAACATTCCTCCTATTACCAATATTCCACTTTAATTGTCTAATGATGATGTCATAACAATTGAAAATACCTTTTAGATCCATGAAGTAGTATAGGAATTCTTGATAAGATCATGCGAGTTAAAATCCACATACTTTCTTTTTTAATGAAGAAACCATAAGAGAATCCCATGTGATCAAATCAGCCTCTAAATTTGCTTAGTTAAAAGACGTTTATTGACCAAATGAATGGGTTTGAGTCCCATATCACCCTAATGTTTGGGTAAGAAGAAGATATCTTTGTTTGTTAAATGCATCCTTTTCTTGCCATCTTGTTACAAATAGGCATGGGTAATTTAACACAAAAAAGTTGGAAAAGATTAGTGGTGGACAAAATAGATTTGATAAGCGTGAGCCTAGAAGCTTGTGATAGAGTAGAAATCTTTCATGATGTCAGTCTTTTATCAATAGCTTCCTTGATTTAATTATACAAAGTAGATTTATCTATGCCCAAATTAACCCACGTCCTAAGATATTTTCCATGATTGTTAGCCAAAGGAAAACCAAGATAATTTGCCTATTCTTCTTTAAGGATATGACAAGTATTAGGGATCACGATAAGAGAAGATTTATCATGATTAATCTCTTGACCAAAAATGACACAAAATTTCTCCAAAGTAGTCTTAGGGGATTCCAAGTTTGTCCTTGTACATTTGAAGAATAATAAGGAATCATTTGCATGCTGAAGATGAGAAATAGGCCTTACAAATTGACATGCCTTAATATCTTTCCACAAACCTCTTTGTTTTTTTATTCTGAATCAAATATAATAAGACATTTGTAGCATTGGTAAAAAGATAAGGAGATAATGAATCTCCTTGTCTAATTCCTCTAGAAGACTTAATTAAACGTGAGAGTTTAACATCGAAAAGAATGTGGTATTCAATTGTGGAGATGCATTAATGAATTAGATTAATCCATTTTTTGAGAAAAGTTCATTTTAATTAAAATCAAGAAATGAAAGGCCATGAGACTCTATCAAAACCCTTTGAGAAGTCAATTTTGACATCTCCCAATTTTGTCTTTCTTAAGTAAGCATGGTGAAGTTAATGCATGAGGTCAGAGGCTAGAAGGATGTTATTAGATGTGAGTCTATCTTTCAAGAAAGCACTCTAATTTGGAAGGATGATGGATTTGAGAATATTAGATGTGAGTCTATCTTTCAAGAAAGCACTCTAATTTGGAAGGATGATGGATTTGAGAATACCTTGAAGATGATTATAGAGTCCTGGAGAAAATCTTATATGCAATATTACACATACTTATCAGTTGAAGATCCTTGAAACTTTTAACCTATCCACCTTTAGGAATCAAGGTAATATGACTTTTGTTTAATGTCCTAAGGATGAACTCAAAATCCCAAGTGTAGTTTACCATAGCAATCTTAACCCACAATTTTCCAATTCTTTTGAAAAAAACTAGCATGAAAACCATCTAATCTCGATGATGAGTCTTTAGGCAAGGAAAAGACAGTTGCTTCAATTGCTTGATTAGGCAATGGTGAAAGAAATTGTAAGATCTCATCTTAAGATATTTGAGGGAGTGTGAATGTTTTCAAGCTTTTTCAAAGCATTAGAAATTGAGAATGAGCGATTACTTGATAAATATGTTGTTAAAGTAGTGCCATCCATTGACTGATATGAACATGTTTATTTCAAAAGATCATAAACACTAGGCCTTTGATTATAGTCTCAACTTTATTTGGTGAGGGAGGGAGAAGGAATATGTGCTGACCAAGTGGAAAGCGCAGACCGTGGGTTGGCAGCTTTTGAGAGCTTTGTGGGGACGATGGCAATATTGTAAATAAGTAGGAACATCATGCCCTCCGAGCTAACTGTCAATTTCACTGGGCCAAACCGTATTCAAAAGGCAATTATTTTATGTTGATATAACCATAAAAGTATATTATTCACTATTAATAACTTATTAAAATATATTATTTAAAATATTTAAAAGTCACATTATTATGGGTCTTAAATAATTTGACGTTTTTTGTAAATTATACACAAACGTGTGGGACTAACAATAATTAATATTTATTTCAATGTTAAATATCAATATCAATATAAATCTCAAATTTTATGGGAAGCCAAGACCTAAAAGGGGGGGAAAAAAAAAGGAAAGACAGGAACTTCCTCTCAGTATCATTTCTTGTCTTCTTTGTCGCTGGTTTGGTAGCTTGTTGGGCTTATTATGTTAAAATGGTTTGGATTTCAAATGTGTGCTTGACCCAATTTTTGTTGGATGATTTATTAGCCCAAAAAAAACAAAACACTTGTTGAATGATTTTGGGATCCCAATTCCTCATGAATTGTCAATTCCTGTTGAATTATAGTATTATTTTAGGGAAAATGAAATTTTTAGACAGTTAAAGAGTAATTTTATCTCTCAACTATTTACTCAAGAATAATTAATATCTTTAACTTTCATATAGTGTAATTTTTTTTTTCAACTTTTGAAAAAAGTGCATTGAGCACCATGTTATTTTAAAAAATTAACTTTAACAATTAATTATCTCAAAAATTACAAAAAAATGACCTTACAAATTATAAAAAATGACCCTTAAAATTGCAAATAAGTACCCAATAAGAAATTAATATCGATTAAGTTCTTAGAACAATGATTAGTCAAAATCATATTTTAGCCTTTTACATGAGTATTAAAAAATAATATTGTATCCTGTTACTTATATGCAATTTATAAAATTTAATTGATATTAATTTTCTTATAGAGTATTTATGTATAATTTTATAGGTCATTTTATGTAATTTTTGAGGTCCTTTTTCTACAATTTTGAAGTCAACTAAAGATTATTTTTTTAATTCCAGCATGTACAATGTAACATTTTCAAAAGTTAAAGTAAAAATTATACCACAAAAAGGTTTAAGATATTAGAGCTCCTATGTGAATAGTTAAAAGACAAAAATGATATTTAACCCAATTTTTTATAGTGATCTTAAATTTTAAATTAAATAAATTCTCCTTAATTAATATTTAACTTATTTATTTTATTTTTGACAAATGAGAAATAGTAACCTAATAAAATTTATACTAATAGCTTGAAGGTTTAGAGTTCGAACCCTATTGAAAAAGGTTGGGTTTGTATTGTTTTAATTATGAAAAATTTTCAAAGTACCCATGTCTTTTGGTGATAAAAGAAAGGTATTATGGGCGTTGTAAGTAATTGTCCCAAATTAGTTTTTTATTCAGAATCTGTCGCTTTTTATTCGAATTGCTGTGGCTGAAAACAGAGCATCGTATTCTTCCCTTCTCTTCACTGCCATAGCACTCCTCTGGCTCTTCAACGTTGGTCCACTTCTCCAGCTCTTCTAGTCCTTTTCCTTGCTCTCCGTCAACCTGTATCTCGTCGCTACTGTTGGTTTATCTGCTACTCTTCTCTCTGTTAAGATTCAGCTGCGATAGGGTGTTTGGGTCGCTGAATTCTCTTCCTCTGTCACTGTTTTATGCTTCTTCCTTCCTCTGGGTCAGCGGGTATATGAACTTCATCTTCCCTTCCTCTTTTGCTAGCTGTTGAGTGTAGTGGTAAGCCTAACTTATTTTTATTTTATTTTTGGTTGACAGCCCCTGTTCCTCTCTCTTGCTATCGAAATTTCTGGAAAATTTATATGTTAATTTGTTGGCTGAAATTTTGGTCTGCTTCTGGTTCGTGTAGGAGACCAAAAATTTTCTCCTTTTCTTCTCAGACGCAAAGCATGTATTTGTTCATAGATGTTGCCACTAAATTTCGTTTGGGTGTAAGTTGCTGGGTTTTTCTCTTCCTTTTCAGTTTCTATAGCAGCACCAAGTGATTCTTTCGCTCCTCTAGCTGAGTTATGACACACTAATTCTTTATTGTTGCTGTCATAAAATTTTAAAAGAATTAAGGTTTAGTTTAAGTCAATATTAGATCCTGTGCTGTTGTGGTGACTAAACTAAATTTGGTTAATAAAAGTAAAAGCTGGTGAGTTGTTGGAATTTTTTGATTGTTCATCTTATAATTTTTGTCAATGATAAATATATGCTTTGAAGGTATTTGTAAAAATATTTGAGAGAACAATTTGATGAATTATGAGTTGTTAAAACTTCTATATTATAGCTGAGAGAAGTATATGTAATTATGATTTAAGTTATTAATTAAAAATTTTAAAATACTAAAGTGGGAGAAAGGATTGCAAAGGAAACCTGTTTCACTTTTTTTTTTAAGTTTGGAGGAAGTTTAAGAATAATTGATATAGTTTATTATGATTTACAAATGAGTATGGGTTATAAGGGAGTGTAAGAATAAATAGAAAGTTGTCAAATGATTTAATTAACTCAAATATATTTGAAACATACTTGGTTAGAGTATTATTTTTAATATTGGTTGGATTGAATTCAAATGTTCAATAAGTGATCGAAAACTTTCTTGATAAATGATTTTAGAATTATAATTTATTTGTTAGAAAATTAAGAATACCATTGAAGTTAAAGTGAAAGATTAAGAAAAGCACGCTTTAGAACTTTGAGAAACTATTAGATAAGTGGGTAGCTTTTCAAATATATGAAATTCTTTATTTAAATTTTACTATTATTCTTTTATAAATTGTACAAATATCATTGTTAATCCTATTTTTTTTAATAATTATCTTATTAATAAAAATGTCTTGATTTTACTGGTAATCTATGTTGTTGATAAGTAATGGTTGAAACGTATATATGATAAATAACATATATTTTTTAAAGTAGTTTAATTACTGAATTTTATGTTAATATAAAATTTTTAATGTAATGATTCATGTATGGAGGAAATAATGATAAATTTGGACAATAAAAAATGATGGTTGAATGGTGTTTGAAAGAGAAAATTTTGAAATTGTTTTCTTATTCCATACATACTTGATTTTCTTTGAGGAGGACTGAGTTCAAAATGTCAAATACTAATGGCAATCTCGTTAGCCCTAGGTGCGTCATGGTACACCTAACTAGTAGGATGTTTATAGGAGGTATTAGCCCTATATGCAAGCCAACACACGTTGAATGGAAGGATGGATATTCACGAATATCGCACTCAAACTTGTTCATGGGCTTTACGCTTGTGCTTTTTTCATGGCTTCTAATTGTGCTTGATTATTTCGTGGCTTTAAGCCATGCTTGTTAGTTATTTACTCTCATTGATTGTGTGTCCACACTTGATTGGTTATTTAGTCTCGTGAACTATGTGTTCACGCTTGTTATTTGTTTTGATAAAGCCCTCCTAAATTTAAGTTAAAACTTATCATTTTTCTAACAATTTTTGAAAGGTACTTTATTGAACTGCTCTATTATTGAAATTTTTTTATTTTATGAGTAGTCAACATTTTTAATACATTTGTGTGATTCCATTAGCATTGTTTAATTTTATGACTATATTATTGAGAAAAATCATTATTTATTTCTAGCTTAAGTATATGATTCATTATTTTATTAAGTTATTTTGAGTAAAATTTATTAATTATTATCTTCTTCTTTTCTTTATTGTAATTTTGATTGGAACGCTACTCACCGATAAGTTTTTTGATCTTAAATATTGTAACTAACCCTATGCCTCTAGCAAATATTTAGGGGCCTTTTTGCTTTTTTAGAAAAAAGGAAGCATATTGTGATTATTGTTTTGATAAAACTATGTATTTTATTTTGTAATCATAGCTTACTACTCCACATGCATGTCCTAGTCTTATTTAGTTGTTATGTAAATTGCTGAAATGGAGCTAATATCCTTACTAGTCTAGTTGGTAAGTTCTGTTGTTGCTGTGAAAAATTTTAGAGGTTTAAATTATAGGAGTGACTCTACTAAAATTTTTACAAAATATTCAAAATTTTACAAACTTTATTGTTATATATAATTTATATATATCAATATTTTATCTTAATTCTTGGTTAATCAAGGCTTATAGAATATGAGTTTACCTCATATTTCATGCCGATCATACCCTTAATATTAGGGTGTAACATTTTTAGACCATTAAGTTTATCTTAAGTATTGATTTGGTTCCTCAATTTTAATTTTAATTAATTTGGTCCCTTAAATTTGATTTAATTATCAATTTGATTTTTATTATTTAAATAGGAAGTAACATTGTTAAAACCGCGCACATGGATACCAAAATATTGGTGGTTGCTATGTAGATTAATAAAAAAGAAATATGATTATTTAGGAAGGAAAACAAGTTGACTCCAAAATTTTTAAAAATAAAAGAACAAAATACAACATAAGAAACTAAATTGATACAAAATTAAACTAATTTAAAAATTAATTTATTCTCATTTAACTGTATATGCATCTCAAGCCATCAATATATTTTACAAATTAAATTAATTCGAGAGTTAATTTGTGTTTTATTTTTTTAAAAAAATATAACATTATAATTTAAAAACATAAAGAATCAAATAAATAAAAATTAAATTTGAGAAATTAAATTAATAATTGATAATAAATTCAGAAGCTAAACCTTATGGATCAAATTGATAAAAATTAAATCAATTTGGTTTGGAGCACTCTCAATACAGTCTCCTCAACTGCTAGGTGGTTGGAACCTGAGGAAGGTCAAAAACTTGCTTCTACTCCTTGTCATAACCATGAATATGATTTGGGAGTAAAGGAATCAAACATTACATAAGGGCGCAGTTCAAGCTGGAAAAAATAATTTCAGAAATTAATCATCAATTACATTACCTAATAGATGTATGAAGATCCCAAGTTCCCAGAGGATTAACCAAATGAAATATAATTTGGAGGGTCGGGGTACAATGACATAATATAAATAATATTATTGTAAAAATTATTGTTCTTCTCACTCACTCTCATGCTTTCACTCCCCCTCATCATAAAACTGAAAATTATAATTACATCTATGTTAAATTTATTAATTTTATAATAATTTTTAAACAATGATTGAATACATTCTTTCATTCCTCTAATAAAACTTTCAAAGAATGAAATATTTTATTCTGTTCTATTCCATTTCATCCCACTCTGTTCATTCTATTCCATTAATAATCATTCTTTTTTATATATCATCATCTACTCTCAGACATATATGCTCTTAAGCCATGTTTGATGCATTGAATTTGGTCAAGGAGAAATGAAATTAAAATTGGAATCATACTTTCATTAGTTTGGTATTAATGAATCCAAATTCTTAATAGATTTTAATTCTACCAAAATACCCATAATTCAATTTCCTTCATATCATGACCATGGAATTGCCATTAGCAATGATTTTTTTGTTTTTGATTTTACTTTTTATAAGGGCATTTTAGCCTTTATATATTTTAAACACATATATTTATTAAAATTATATTTAGATTATATTTTCATACCAAACATACATCTATAACTCATTTTTATTCTGATTTCAATTCCAACTTTAGTTCTAATTCTGATTATATTAAAAACTCTTTCATCATATTAAACGAGGCGTTATGTCGGAAACAGGAAAATAGGGATGGATTAACTGTACAAATTACGTTTTTTTTTCTATGATAACTCTGACATGGAAATTAAAAAGAATAAGAACAATAATGGAAATCTACCGGATTTTGCTGATGATTGCCTCAGACGAGCGCTCAACTGGATCTGTTGCTGCAATTGGAGCGTCCTTCATCACTCAAAGCTCTTCTTCATCGACTTCGATACTAACAAACCATTGTTGATGTAATTTTGTTCATTTATGTTTAGCTCATGATGACTTACAAGATCTTAATACCTGCTTTCCTCGTCAGATATTGCAACTGTAATATTTTCTTCATTTCTTTTAATATTTTTCAACCAGATGACTGACCAAGTGACCTTTACCAACTAATCGGAACATATTTATCATTGTTAACTAATTCATCGATTATAAAAAAAAATGTTGCTCTCTCCAAAATACAATATATGTTATTATTAACTAATTCATGATTTATGAAAAAATGTTAGTTGAAACTTTAATTTTTCAAAAATGTTCACATATTTTTATTTATGCCACTGTAAGAGTTCATAATAATATGTGCTTGATCTTTAAATATGGAGCATTTAAAGATAAGGAATAAAAAAGTAAGCGTATAAGTAAAAGAGATAGAATTTATCCAATATCTTATATTTTAGACCAATGGATGCTTTTAGAAAGTGTTTTATATTGTGCTCCAATAGTTGAAACCTAAGTCCTTGTTTGGTACATATGCCTCAAATTGAAGGGATTGGGATTAAGATTGAAATTGGCATTGAGATTGGGATTGGAGTTGAGATTGAGGCTTTTAAAAATATATTTGGTTTGGAGTAATATTTGAATACTTGCAATAATGTTATTTTATAATCAATAAAAAAATTATCAAAAGACAAAAATGACTCTTATCATTGAAAAAGAAAATATGAAGTCTCGAAAGATTTAGAACTCCATCTTTAACATGAACCAGATCTAAGAAAGTGTTTTGTTTTCACAAGTCCAACCATGAGTTCAAATCCAAGCACTCTCAATCTCATATGTATAACAACTTGAACTAGATCTAAGAACCATATCTCAAACTCAATTTCGAACCAGATCTAAAGGTGAGCAAATTCAAACTTGAACCAATGGGAACCACATCTCAAAATAGTTGATAAGAGGAGTGAAAGTATGGCAATTAGCGGGTGGGGCGAAAACAAATCAGAGGAAGAAAACAAAAAAAATGCAAAAATGGACGGCAAAGACTTTTCAGGTGGCATTATGAAATCCTTGATCTCCAATTGAGAGACCATCGAAATCTCCTCTAGATCTCATATTCAATCTCTCTAACTTTTCTGGTGGTGTCGGGGTCAATGCTTGACAGAGTGGAAGGTAGAGGGTAAGAGGCTCAGTGAAGATGCTCGACTGAGTGGAAAGCAAAGAGAGAGAGACGAGGAAGAGAGGATAGGGGCATTTTAATATGAAAATAATCAATTTTGGGATTAACTTTGGTGGAATTGAGTAATACTAGGGAGTGGTGGGTTTCAATATTCCCACTTACATGGATTTGAACAATCTTAAATATTAGTGACTGCCTCATACCAAACATGTAAAAAGTGTTATTACTTTAACCCAATCCTAATCTCATCCTTCCAATACTACGTATCAAACATGACCTTATTTTTAAAAAAAAAATGTTTACATCTTTTCATTTATACGTTTGAGTTTTCCTAATAACACATGTATAATATTTAAATATAATGAATAAAAAAATAAGGGTATACATGAGAGAAAAATATAAAATTTATCTGGTACTTTATTTTTGAATCAAAAGATACTTTTGAAAGATGATTTCTATTACGATTTGGATGGAGTATTATTTTGATGAACACGTTTTCATTTTTGTGTAGACGAAATAAATTGCAGGGAGAAACCGAATGAGGCTGAAGCTGAATGAACAAAAATGGGTTGGATCTAAAACAAAGAGACAGTTGGCGACAATTAATTGGTCATAAAGAGGCCTCAACGAATTGAGTGCTCTGTGATTGTATGCGGACATTCATTCCTCCCACACGGCCCTAGAAGCAACTTGCTCCTCTTAATGGGAGTTCGCTTTCTTTCTTCACGAAATAGGAATTGCTGCATATCTAGATCATTAAATTTAGGGAGAATGATAAAGAAATTTTAAAAGAATTAATTAATTTAAATTAGATTTTAAATATCAAACTTTAAAAATTTATAATTCAATCTTTTAATGTTATAATTGCGTTGTAATGAATTTATAATTTATTTTTTTAAATTTTAACATGATTGAAGAATGAAAAAATTTATTTTTTCTATTAAAATTTAAAATATAAGTTATAAATTTATCACAACAAAGTTGTAAAATTTAGAGATTGAGTTATAAATTTTTAAAATTTAACATTTGAGATCTAACTTGAATTAATTGATTCTTTTGAAACCTCTTTGTCATTCTTTTTTAAATATATGCTATGTTTGAATGCATAGAGATTTGAATTTAAGTTTGAATTTGAATTTAATTTATTATTTGGGTAAAGTTGGGCTTGACTGAACTCCTGAAATTGTTCAAGTTGCTTTAAATTCAAATAATTTTACTTAAGATCTGAGTTTTAATATTATAATTTAAAATTTTTTATATCATCCAGATAAAGAATTTATACTATATAAATTTTAAATATAAGATTTTAAATTTAATTTTTTAACCTAAATTCACTCATCTAAACATAATTTTAAGTTAATGATTTAGATTTGATAATTTTTAAAAAGTACATATTTGATTTAAACAATTTAGACTTGTATTGAAATAGTAATAGTGGAGAAACCCACCACTCTTAATGGCTTTGCCCCGCTTCTACTTTAATTTATCACTAGTCTATATAGGTGCCTTTTTAGCTGAAGTAAATGTGCCAGTTGTCTCTAAAACTAAACATTCTTTTTACATTTATTTTTATTTAATACAATGTTGCAATTAAAAAAATTATTAATTATGTCTCTTAATTAAGAATATTTTTAAAAATATTATTAATTATACCTTAAAATATTTAAAATATTTTATATTTTTTTGAAGATAATAGTTTTAAATATTGTTTTATAATACTCTCTCTGTTAAAGACGTTGTTTAAGGGTTTAAATTTTTAAAAAAATATAAAGTATTTTTAAGATTTTAAGGCATTTTTTCAAAAGTGCCCATCATAAATAAATTATTTTATATTTATTTTAAAATAAAATATTTCAATAAAGATAAATACAAAAAAATTTATAACTGACTCTTGTAAAATAAAACATCCCAAGTATCTGTTATTAATTTTTCAACTAATTATTTACATTTTTAATTACAAATAATGATCATGATTTGCTATTAAAATTTTAATAATTTAGTGCCTACAATTATCATTAATATTTTTATGGAGTTTTAAATTATCATTTTCCCTTTTCTTATTTTTAAAGACATGTTTAAAAATGATATCAAATTATGAGACTATAAAATTGAAAATATAATATTGTAACATCCCAAGTTTTAATTCCCTCATTAATTAAATCTAATTAGGGTAATTAAGTAAATTGAAGTGATGTGTGGCTAGAGAGGTCTAATAATCTTGTTTGATACTATTTTAGCCCTAGTTGTGAGTCTGGTATCGAGGTGGACCACCTCGGCATCAAAAGGAGAGGAAAAAGAAGAGTTGAAGTTGCTGTGCCACATGCTGCAGTGCGTAGATCGTCCGCCGTGGCACACAGCCATCTTTAAGCGAGGGAGGACTTCTTTATGTCATGCACTGTGGTGCATTGTGTGTTCGCTGCGGTACATGGCCATTTTTTGTACTTTATCAGATGTGAAATGAGATAGAAAAAGAAAGGAGAGAAAGGAGAGGTGTGCTAATACTCTACTAGGGTTTACTTGGGGACTACTTTAAGAGTATTTTGAAGGCTACAAACACCCAAGATAAGTATCATACTCATGAATCTCCCCTTTTCTTCCATATTTATGAGTTTATGGTTAGGGTTTGATAGTGAAAGTAAGATTTTGGTTCATATAGGTTATGGGTCTAAATTTGTTGACTCAAATGGAGTTAATGGGAGTAGATTAGAGTATTTAAACTTAGGTATGATGAGTTTTGGTGTCTTGGATTGTTGGACACCATAAATGTTTGAAAATCCCATTTATTATGGGCGGTTGAAAGTTTGTGATACCATTAATGGGAATTTAATGGCTTATTAATGTTATTGAGAGCTAAAGGTAATTATTAAATCCAATAGTTAGACTCCACCTCTTGTAAGGTGAAGGTTGGGCAATTTAGAAGTAGAAATTGAGGGTTTAATTGTTGAGTTTGCTATGTTGATGGAATTCAAATTGGTTGTTTGTAACTTTAGCTCTTAGTCACCTTTTGGAGTAGAAATTCAAGCTTGGAGGCTAGTTAATTGAGGAGTAAACCTTTGACCTTTCAAAGGTTTGAGGTAATAAGGAAAAAATATATTTTGGACAGTTATATGTTAATTGATTGTGAATGTGAAATTATAAATGCTTACATGCATGGAATTGATTGTTTAAGTAAGAACTATATATTAGTTTCTTTGAGTACATGAAAAAGCTATGTTTGGGCTTGCAAATGCAAGTGCAAAGTTAAGTGAATTGTATTGTGAATATGCCTATATTTTTTAAAAATGAATGTGATGATGTGTAGAAATAGTTTTGTGTTAATAAGAAATGAATTTTGAAAAAAAGATGAGAATACACACTTGGATAGCACAAGGTTGTGAGCCTAACGTAATTATTGTAATAGTGAGTATATGAAAGTGAAAAGTGAGAACAAGTGAGTAATGATTATGACATGATCAGTGGCGGGAGTTTGCCTAAGAATTTGGGAGTAGAGAAAATCCATATGGTAATTAGGCTGTCCTCCGGTGCATGGGGGTTATAGCCTTGTCCCATCATTTGTCGAGAAACTGTCTCATAATTTGTTGAGGGACTATGTAACAGTCACACCCCCCCGAGCCCACTGCTGTGAGTGGTGGACTGGGCCGTGCCACCTCACGGCAACCACCAGCCGGCTTTCCTCCTGGTAGTTCAGGAGTTATTCCCCGCACCCACTGCGCTAAGGGAGCCTTCCCAGGTTCGATCCTCCAACCTCTCTTACATAGCGAAGTTGAGGCTGAACCTGATACCATTGAGTCAAGTTAAGATATTGTTATGTTTTTAAATCCTGACATGAATTCTTTTAATGTTGTCGATTTAAATATTCCTAATTTTACATCTTATTAAAATCAAAGCATCTTACTTAGTTTATATATATTCAAATTTATTTTTCAGTTTATAAATCTAATTCAACTTATGTATTGATTCCGATCGTGT